GACTAGAACAGACAAGCAGGAAAGATATTTATGGACTACATCAGATTTGTGTGTTAACAAAAGTACAGACTTTGTTAGACTAATTTTAATTACTGTTTTCCTGGCTGCCCTTTTCTGCAGGACTTTGATCTGTGCATTAGTTGTTACAACATGAAGGGACACGAGCACCAGATGGTGAAGTGGGGCCTTGGCCTGGACGACGACAGCAACAGCCAGAGTGGAGAGGCCTCCAAGAGCCCACAGGAGAGCCGGCGTTTAAGTATCCAACGCTGTATCCAGTCCCTGGTCCATGCTTGTCAGTGTCGCAATGCCAACTGCTCTCTGCCGTCCTGTCAGAAGATGAAACGAGTGGTGCAGCACACCAAGGGCTGCAAGCGCAAAACCAACGGTGGCTGCCCTGTATGCAAGCAGCTTATCGCTTTATGCTGTTACCATGCAAAGCACTGTCAGGAGAACAAGTGTCCTGTCCCGTTCTGCCTGAACATCAAGCACAAGCTTCGCCAACAGCAGCTGCAGCACAGGCTCCAGCAGGCCCAGCTGATGAGGAGAAGAATGGCTACCATGCAAGGCAGAACCATGCCGCTACCGTCCCCACCAGCCTCAGCTGCCCCCAGCACTCCCACTTCCCATGCCCAGCCCAACACTCCCCAGACGCCCCAGCAGCCACTCTCCAACCAGCCCCAGACTCCCAACTCAGCAGGTGTTATGTCCCCCACTTTCCCCAACACACCTCGCAATGGCCCGCCTCAAGCACCGGTGTCTCAGGGGAAGCCTGGGCCCCAGGCCTCCCCTCTACACCAGCAGCAGTCCCCTCTCCCCCAGCCGCCTCAGCAACCTCAGCAGCTACAGCCTCCCCCTGCTGCGGTCAAGATGGCCCGGCACATCGAGATGATGGCACAGGCTCAGCAGAACTATCGGGTCAACATGAACGGCCTGCCCGTAAACCCCCAGCAGCCACAGCAGCGCATGACTGGACCAATGCAGCCACCTATGCAGATGGTGCCAGGGCCCCGAGGGCCACAGGTCATGCAACCGGGCATGGCACCAGGACAGTGGCCTGGCGCTGCAGGGCCCATGCAGACACCTCAGACTCAACAACCAGGACTTGTCCCAGGCCAGACCCCACAACAGGCCATGACCATGCCGCGAGCCATGATGCCCCCAGGACAGCAACCCCAGCAGGGCCAGAGGATGCTGATTCCACAGCAGCCTGGTGCCCGGCCACAGACCCCCCAGAGACCTGGCGCTATTGCACCCAACGCCCTGCAGGACCTTCTTCGCACCCTCAAGTCTCCCAGCTCACCCCAGCAGCAGCAGCAGGTCCTCAACATCCTCAAATCAAACCCTCAGCTAATGGCTGCTTTCATCAAACAGCGAACAGCCAAGTACCATGCCAACCAGCCGCAGCAGCAAGCAGGTCAGCAACAGCAGCCCGGGATGCAAGCAGCAATGCAGGCCATGGCCATGCCAGGAGGGGCGGTGCAGAGGCCGGGAATGCCCCCTCAGCAGCCCCAGCAACCTCCTGCGCAGGGCCTGGCTGCATTAGGGGCTCAAGGGCAGCTGATGAACGCAGCACACAACAACCCCCAGCTCCAGGAGCTCTACCGTCGGCAGCTCTTAAGACAGCAGCAACAACAGCAGCAGCGCAGCAGCAACAACAACAACAACAACAACAACAACAACAGCAACAACAACAACAGGGAGTGATGCCTCAGGGCCATCCTGGTCAGTTCCCTGCTCAGGCGCAGGGCACAGCAGCTACGTACTCCCAGCTCCGCATGCAGCAGCAGCAGATAGCCATGCAAGCAGGTGCAGGAGCAGCTGGGGGACCCATGGGCCAACTCCCACCCATGGCTCAGATGGCCCAGCCTGGCATGGTGATGGACTCCACCCAAAACTTACTGCATCAACGAATGCTCCAGCAGCAACAGCAGCAGCAAATTCCCCAGCAGCAGCAGGCCGTCCTCAAGCAGCAGATGGGCTCTCCTGCCCAGCCCAGCCCCATGAGCCCCCAGACCCACCTGCTGGCCGGCCAGCCCCAGGGTGGAGGCCACCTACCCGGCCAGCCCACACTAGCCAACGCCCTCAACAACCAGGTCCGTTCCCCTGCGCCAGTCCAGTCGCCTTGTCCGCCCTCGCAACAACAGCCCCAGCAGCGGCCACATTCCAGTCCCTCACCGCAGGTCCAGAACCAGCCCCAGCCCTCGCCACAGCACCCACATCCACCCCACTCGGCTTCCCCCCACCCAGGACTCGGGGGCCCGCTGTCAGGGTCCATTGAGCAGGGCCACTTGGGGACACCAGAACAGAGCGCCATGCTACCGCAGCTTAACACGCCCAACAGAGGGGGGCTGAACAGTGACTTGGGGATGGTGGGAGATGCTACAGGGGACACTCTGGAGAAGTTTGTGGAGGGATTGTAGCATTTCTGCTGGGAACTAAAGAACAGTGTCGCTCCCAGGGACCCATCCTCCCAGGCCTCTTTCTCCTAGGTTCCCCTCAGACTCTTTATCACGTTCGAGGGCTTTGTTTGTTCTTTCTAAGGTTGCGAACGGTTTTTTGTACTGACATGTAAAAAGTTTCAACTGTTGTAAAAAGAAAAAAGAAAATTTGGTCGATGGGGAAAAAAAGAGTCAACACTTCTAGGGAATGTAATTGTTTCATAAACCCAAGTGATGGGTGTTTTCTTCCTTAAGATGTTGAGGGATTTGCAAGTTGCTTCTTAAATGAAATTTAAATCACAAAGAATATATTTTTTGGTTGAGACCAAATGTGTTCAATACTCAATTTATTTTTGGTTTGTTTTTGGTATGGTTTCATGCCTTTCTTGTTTCTTTTCTTTCTTTTTTTTAAGAACATGTACAATTGCATTATATTATTCATATCTTTTTATTTTGTACCTTTGGAAAAGAAACTTAAAGCATTTTTGTGTTGAAACTGTAAAATAATTTGTCTGGGAATTGGGCCAGGTTTTTGTTCTCTTCTCAAGCTGTCATTCCTGGCTATTGTAATCTAGTGTTGTACCATTACTCCAAGACGATGCGTTCAGGGACCGTTCCCCTCCTCTTTGTGTATGAAGAGCACTCAGTTGTGTTAAATAGGAAAATGGACTGCGGCAGGTTGTGTATACACAGGCATGTATGCAGGCGCACATGAAGACACTGACACACAAACCCTCACAGTCACTAAATTAACTACAGCTCTGACTGGTTTCACAAACACAGACAACAAGGACTGCAACCTACATCTCAGTGGCCTGGAATTTAGAAAATCTGTCTTGCAGGTGTAGAAAATTGTTGCTTTGACATTAAAAAGAATCTGTCATACTTTTTTGTCATACAGATGTTGTAAAGTGTAAAGAGATTGTGAGAAAGAGAGCAGCCCCCTAAGCTGAGGTGGAATGATCACCGGTTGTTTGTAGGCCACATCTCGGATGATGCCCCATCCTCTAAATTTTACACTAAGCTGTGTGCTATCTAGGGATGAGGGGCACGTTTGAGATTCACCCTGAGGAAAACTAAATGTTGTCAACCCTCATTCCTCTCTCACAAAAACTTGAATTGGGGGGGGAATTTACTTTTTCTCCTATTGTAAATCAAGTTATTAAGCAAAATACTATAAATATAAGGAAGAGAGATTGAAATCACTGTATAAACTGGTAAAAGACTCATTTCTTACTTATATACCATATTGTTAAATAAACTGTGTGCAGCAGAAGAACTCCAGTACTCTGTTGACTAAATAATGATGCATCACTCCTGTTGGTTGTGTTCATTTGTTTCCGCTCCGCAGTGTTTTATCATCCTGTCACCAGCAACAGTGGGCGGAAAAATACATGAAATTGGTCAGAAAAGAGTCCCTCAACCGTACCACTGGTTACATTTCTGCAGTTTTTCAACCTAAAATGACATTTATTTCTAATTGGACTATTTCTTTTGAGATTACTTTGTAACATCCACCTGAACTTGTTTTTATGCAGGACTTTACAAATACAGCTCACATTTCAGAAACTGAAAAATATTACTATTAAGTAGGTTTTTCTATTAGTCAATAGCAGGATGCGGTTGAGGGAGAATATGTTTTGCATGGTGGGATAAAAGCATGTTACCTTCATAGAAATGTAATAATTATAAGATATTTGAATCAGCCTGTTCCTGTCTGGATTCCAGGCGTCTACAGTATAAACAGAGATGAACAATAGACACACAATAGTTAAAGTAAGGATGGAAGAAGGGTTTAATTTTTGTGTGTTCTTGTTTTTAAACCAAACGATGCTTCTGGCTGTGACTTTTTTCATTTTTCATTAGTGATGTCTGTTCAGTCAGTTGTTGAAATAGATAATTTAGTGACTTATTAAAATGGACTTCAATTAAGCACCTGCAGCAAAAAACATCCATATTTATAAAATACTGAGGGTCTATCAGATGTTTCTTAAATTTCTGTTGTGATCACCGTTGGGCTGATTACTCAATGCAATTTATTACTCATTACTTGTTACTCTTTTAAGAAGTGATATCACTGGGGCACCTGGATAGCTCAGTGGGTAGAGCTGGCAACCCATGTACCAAGGCTGCTGCATGTCATCCCCCCCCCCCCCCCCCCCCCCCGTCCCCCCCTCCTGCCTATCTATATATAAATTTTCTGCAACTCCCCATAAAATTGGTAATTGTCTCCCTTGTCCACAAAAGTTAGGATTTAAACTATTAAATTTTGTTTATTAAAATCAAGGTAATGGGAATATTTCCAGCCGCTTAAATGTGTGTTTCAGAATCAAGCACTTTCCATCTTCCAAGTTAGTTTCCTCCCTGATTACAAAAATGAATCCTAGGATGTGGTTGGATTGATGGACTTCTTCGTGGTGACAACAAAAGTAAGGTTATAACTAATTATTTTTAGTGGGGGTATTATTACTGAAATGTATTGGGGAGCAACCTTACTGCGTGTGATGGTATCAACACCAACACCTTTCAATTCACTTTGCAGTCAGCTGACCTGGAGGGCGCCACGATTCGTCCGTTTACCGTCATGTGACCGGAAGTCGAGAATGACGCGGTTGAGTGTAGGTACTTTTGAAATGAAAACAAACTCCGCCGGTTTCCTAACCTTACTTGTTTTATTCACTATCTAATCGATACGTGAAGTTGCGTATCGTTTTAAAAGAACACAGAGAGATGAGGCGGGAAGCTGAAGAGACAATTCCTCCAACCTGGGTGAGGATAATCTGTTAGCACGACTAGCTAGCTGGCTAACTTACACGTTCACTACAAACAGTAAGATACAATATAAATATATAAACAGTAACGTTATAACTTTACGTTAGGTAGAAGGTGACTCTGTAGACGTGTGCTTTCTTTCAACTTAAATCTTGTCGACATGTTTTGAGCTAACCCAGCTCCGGACACCAATTGCTCCAACCTGAACTAGCTAGCTCTCTCTGCAGGCTGGTGGACGCACAGCTGGGGACATGCTGGCATGGCCTCTCCTGATGTGAGACAAAGTAAACCATCATGGACGACTCGGACCAGGATTTTGTAGATCTCTGCTCAAAGCTGCTTAAACGAGTCCGCAAGAAACCAGGTGAGCCCAAGCAGCCAAGTAAAGCCGAGCCTCAGCCCTCCAGTCAGGCAGGCGATAGAGAGAAGAGGAGGAGAAATAACAAAAGGGATGGTGACTCTGGGTCTAAGTGTGCTGGGACCCAGTCTGTGTGCTCCAGTGCTGCAGCAGAACAGCATGAGGTCTGTGGAGAGACTGGACCTGATTCAAGAGATGCTGGGTCGTCAGCTGAGAGGGGTTTGGCAGCGAAAGATAAAGTGCTCCACAGAATGCAACAGTTCAAGAGGGTCAGCCCCCAGAGGATGGGACACAAGGACCAGAACCACTGTGTTCCTCCTCCACCTGCGGTGCAAAGACAAGGTAAGAGCACAGATTGTTGGTGTGCAGCGTTGTATCGAGGGAATACAGAAGAGGTTTTCTCTCACTGCTTTTGCAAGACTTTTAAATTGTGCCATCATCATTCAGTTTTGGCTTGTATTTGTCTCACTACCTTGATTTCATATGTTATACAGGACATTAAACAGTACTTTCAGTAGGAGAAGTTTATGTGAATTTTGGGGATTCTTATTTGTTGTTTTTTTCCACAATGTCATACAGTAGAGCTGCCTGAGATTGATAGATAACAATAATAAATAAAAAAAGAGAGACAGGAGGAGGGAGAGAGAGAGAGGATGACACGCAGCAAAGAGCCACAGGTTGGATTTGAACCCACGGCTGCTGCAGCAAGGCCTCAGGCTTGCTAGGTGGGGCACCAGGTGAACTATCAGGGTCCCCTGATCTCAACATTTTTAACCATGTGTTAACCAGCAGTCCTAGTGTAACAGTGTTTTGGGGATTACTATTAGTGCTTTTAGAAGACATTTGCTAAGAAGGAGAATTTGAGAAGTAATGTAGATTTAAAAACATCCAATGTCAGTTTCTAATTAGATAGAACAGTGTAATGATTACAGACTGAGTTGATGCTCTCGAGGTTAGAAGCAGGCACAGTTGACACAGATATTATAAAATTGGCACATTAAAAGTAACAACATTACATCAGTGTAGTTTATTACTGTATTATCTAGTATCCAGTATTAATGTAACATTAGAGGGAGCTGCCATCAGTGTGTGTATGGGGCAAGGAGACGCAAATTGTAAAGCACTTGGTGTAAAAGTGCTATAATGCCGCTAGTTTAACACACCTTTGACTTGCATCTGTATGTCCCACCTCCGCTCTGTACCCAGATACTGCAGAGTCCTGTAGCTCAGGCCTCCACCCGGAGCCCCAGGACAGTGACGAGGCTCTGGCCCTGCGGCTGCAGCAGGAGCTGGACAGGGAGGCTGCAGATGTCCAGACGGTGGACCTGGAGGACGGAGGCCTCTTCTTCTGTCAGATCTGCCACAGAGACCTGTCACACATGACCCCTGAGGGGCGAACGCAGCATCTCAACAGGTCCGGATATTTATATTTGCATTGTAGGCACGTGACTGATGCTCTTATCGACGGTGATTTGTAAAAGCAGAATGAACTAACAGGTCTTGACTGCAAGCCACAGGTGAGCACTGGACTGTTGGGAAACTGAGTGAAAGTGATCCAATCCCTCTTTGCAGGTGTTTAGACGATAGTGAAGAGAGCGCCCCAGCCGCTCCTCCTCCTGATGTCCCCGACTGTCCCATCTGTGGCAAGAAGTTCAAGTCCCGGAAGAGTCGCTCGGCCCACCTGAAGCGCTGCTCCTCAGACATGGGCGTCCCTCCGGCTGTGCTGCTGCAGGCTCTGCAGAGACAGACTGAGGAGACTCAGAATGTCCCCACTGCTAGCACACTGTGAGTCTGCTTCAGTACTTAAGTACCATAATAAAGCTCTGAGCTCACCGCCAGTCACAACAATGGATGCACAGGCTCTACAAGCATTTTTTAGATATTCAGATATTGTTGATGACTGTTGTTTCTCTACATCAACGTAACCCAATCATGTGTAATTGCTTGCCAATCTCATTATAGGAATAGCTTACCTATCCTCTCACATCACTATATGAGAACTTTCTAAGCTTAATCAAACCTTGTTCTAGCTCTATCTGTATTTTTTTCCCCTCCTCAGTACAGAGACTGGAGGCACCAAAAGAAAAGGCTCGTCCAAGCCAGGTCTCCCAACAAGGAAGAAGCCCAGAAAGAACACTGAACCCGTGGACGAAGACACTATGGTGGCCCTGGCTCTGTCCTCCTCCTTGCTGGAACAGGAGAGGGAGTCAGAGAGACAATTACAAACAGAGACAGCTGTCTCTCACTACACCTTGACTCCAGTGTTGAAGTGGAGGCCAGACGCAGGTACAGTGACGTCACTATATCATCATCTGTGTTTGTCAAGACAAAAATGAAAGGATGAAGCATTAATACAACGGGATAGAGCTACAACGACTAGTCAATTCATTGATTGGTCGTCAGCTCTTAAATAAATTGGCAACTATTTTGATTATTAATTCATCGTTTTGAGTTTTTTTTTTTTAAGAAAGAATTTCCAAATTGTCTGATTTCAGCTTCTGAAATGGGAGTATTTTCTGGTTTCTATAGTTCTCTATGACAGTAAACTAAATATATTTGGGTTGTGGACAGGGCTTTGGGAAACAGCGATCAACATTTTCTGACATTTTATGGACTAAACAACTAATCAATTACTTACAGATTAATTGATAATCAATTAGTTGCAGCCATGAACAGGGAATGTTATACCTCATAGTGTAGCACAAACTTATATGTTCTTGCTTTAATGCAACATTTTGGAATTGTTATGAATGTAATTGATTATCGGTTTGGTTTGTTTGTATTAAATGACGTTTTGTTCTTTACATCAGACAGAACTGGTTCATTGTCAGCGTTTGCTGGATCTTATTTATCAACTCTGATACCAGATGATTTTTGTTAAGCTCGTGTAATTTTAACAGGCATATATATTCATGAGCATGATCAAATAAATCAAAAGTCAGGAATTTGTTGTAGTAAATGTATATAAAGGGAATGAGTTTATAAGTATATGAGTTTAAATGGCTGCACATATCTGACGCAGTGTTGTTTAATTGATTCTCAACATAGCTTCTGATGCTTGTTGCTATGGAGCAATATTGAAGTTTGAAACATACTCCAAAGACTTTTTAACTGGTTATGAAACAGTAATACTGATGCCTTTATATAACCTACATGAACTTACATAAGCAAGAAGATTAACGTTTTCTATAGTTATTCTTAATGCCTGCCACTGGGTCGGATTCAAAGAAACTAGGCGGTAGAAACACTTCTGCTTTTATCTGCAGGGGCCACCAGAATCAATACATAATTAAAGTTTCTTGAAGGGCTTTAAATAATAATAACCAATAGTTTGAGCATATAGTTTAGAATATAGTCTGGCAGGTACCTGTGGCAAAAACCTGCTAACAGAAAGATTTAGACATGTTTACTGTGAACACACAACAGCAGGGTTTTAAAGGAAGGAACACTCATCATGTGTTGTGTGTCTGTTACCAAGCTGGAAACAGTGTGTACTGTAGAACCTAAATCCATGTGTGTGTATATACTCAGCAGACAGATTGTGTGCAGGTTTACAAGCCTTCAGATGCATCACCTCCCTCTCTCCCTTCCTCTCTGCTCGGTGCAGGTAAATGCCGTGGGAAGAGGAAAAAGGGCGCCGTCCCTCGACCTCCTCCGCTCCTCCTCGTTCAGGATGCTGAGGTGGCTCTGACGAGGCTGCAGGAACGGGTTTCTGCTCTCCTCCTACGCAGCCAGGCCCCCTCTCCCCCTACTCCGACCCGCTGCCCCAGCAGTCTGGCTAGCTGTGGCGGTGCTGCCCCCCTCTGGCAGAAGAGCACACTACTGGACGGTGGCTCCACCTGTCTGTCTGATTTCTACACTCCAGAGCTCAGAGAGTTCATCACGCCATGGCAACCGGCAATGGTGAGAGAGACCAAAGACCGCTTTCTATACTTTGTTGTATTATTTCTGTTTTGTAATATACTGGAGCATACTTCTGTCCACCCACTTAGATGTTTATGATTTAGGTTACATCCGTAAACATACTTGTTGATTTACAAGGTTGGATATCTAAAGATAGCTAACCTTGTAAGGCAACTGGACTCACAAAATAACACGCAACAAACCTGGTGCAGACAGGTTAGGTGACATCCATATTTGAAGCAGTATTTTGTAGTCGACCACAAGGTCATTGGTTTTGCTGATATTGAGCTTCAGGTGATTGTCGTTGCACCATTTGACAAAGCTCTCTATCAGTCCTCCTTACCTCTCTGTAAAAGAGTCTCTGTGAAGTGAAGATGTCATGTTTCTCACTGGAAATTATTCACTGGAATCATTCATGTCGATATAGTGATAACTTCCCATCCCTTTTATTAAATTCTTTCAAAGTCTTTGCTAGGATTTAAACTGAAACTTCACTGTTTGGCGCTGGCACACGACCTCAAGGCTGTAATTCTATTTTGCAATTGGTAACACACATTTTTCTCTAGTTCACTTTTTCAAAACTCTTCTGTGGGAACGCTTCAGTAGGTGTGTGTGTGTGTGTGTGTGTGTGTGTGTGTGTGTGTGTGTGTGTGTGTGTGTGTGTGTGTGTGTGTGTGTGTGTGTGTGTGTGTGTGTGTGTGTGTGTGTGTGTGTGTGTGTGTGTGTGTGTGTGTGTGTGTGTAAAAATTCACTTTATGTACAGTTCATGTATAGGATGTTACAAATATAGAAGTAGTAGTAGTACAACAGTGCGAGTCAGTCCTGCTGTATTTGGCCAAAAGTTCTCATCCACATCACACCTCATGTTCTCTATTGTAAAACACCTGGGAATTAATGTTGCATGGCTGATCTAATCCATCCTGGCAGTTGTCTGTATTCAAGGATTCAGTGTTATTTATTGTAATTTAAAATGCAAGGTTGTATAATGAAACTTAGATTAATGAATTTAAATGGTGTTACGGCAGCAGAAGCTTCTGTATCTCTTCCCAGATGGCAGCACGGTGAGCAGACTGTGGCTGGGTGGGTGCTGTCTTTTATTATCTTTTGGGCTCTGCGCAGGCACCTCACCTCGTCAATATCACTGATGATAGGTAGTTGAGTACCAATGATCTCTAGGCAGTCCTTCTGTCCTAGGCCGAGCACAGCGGTGGTGACATCCAGCTTTTATCACATACAGGAGAGGCATCTGATTATGTGGCTGTTGGTTATAAACTTTTTACCTCCATGAGGTCCTCTATGGGGTGGAATATTTTTAGATGTAAATGTAGCAGAATGTAATAAATGCAGTCTTTATGTACTTGACTTAGACCCTCGCAGGTCATCAGCAACTAGGTATTTTTATGTAAATGTACCAGTTGTTCCATACACATGTAAAATTGTCTGTAAGTACTGAGTTTTTGGTGTTGAGTTTGAATGAGAAAACAATTTGTGGAATTTGAAAAATGTCACTGAAATGTGAGTAACCAGCTCTAAATAACTAGTTATTTTTCACATATTCCATTTGTAGATTTGTTATATATCTTATCTTGTTGTTGCACTGACTATTTGACCAAAGAAAGGTTAACCAAAGTTAATTTCATACTTTTCTTCTCCATTTCTAGACTGAAGCAGCCTCCTCCATCAACAAGCCTGAGTCCTCTGTCCAACCTGCGAGTGAAGTAACTCCTGTCGCAAGACCCGGAGCCTCCACCCTGCCATCTTCCTCCTCGGCTCCCTCCACCCCAGGGACAGGGCAGCTCCCAGTGGGCAGCCAGGCATTCCGAGACCTGATGGAGCTGGCTGAAGACGGCATGACCTTTACTCAGTATGGTTACACCGCTTCAGGCCCAGACGAAGGTAACACACACACACACACACACACACACACACACACACACACACACTTACTGTCCTACCAGTAGATACTAATGGAAACAAATCTGTACAAATGATCATAATGAATCCATTTTATGAATACTACTTATGAATATTGGCACTGACTGCACTGGCAGAGAAAACTGACATTTACTGATGGGTTGAACTTGTACTTGATTTTCGGTCTTATATATTTTGGTAAATTTGATACATTGCGTTAGTGGCTGTAAACTCTTAACTATGCATAAGGTGCTTGCCCCCAAATGGTTTGCTTCAAGATTTTCTTTGAAGCACAGTCAGTCAGATAAAATCAAATAATCAGTCCACAAACATTCATTATTATTATTATTATTATTATTATTATTATTATTATTATTATTATTATTATTGTTATTATTATCTAACTGAAGAGGTTTTATGTTATGTGTCTCTTGTCGCTTGTTTGTTTTTTTAATATGCTCTATTTGGAATTTGTATAACCTAAATGGTGGGCTTTCTCTGCCAGATGTCCCTCTAAAAAGACATTTTAATCTCAAAGAACTTCCTGGTTAAATAAAGGTTAATTAAATTGTTTGTTTATAATTTTACCCTCCAAAAAATGTGAAATTAGTTTTTATATTGAATATTTTAAAAGGGGTGAATATCTGAAAAACTAATTTTCTCTTAACTTTCCATTACCAGAAGCATGTTTTGAGCTGTACTTGTCACAAGAGGGCCATGTTTATTGTAAACAACATTTTTCAATTTCAGTGTGTATTAGCAGGAAACACAAAAAAACACTTCTGGAAGTGTGGGGGACATAATTCTGGCTGGAAATCACTTTTAACTCATCTGTTCTGGTTGAAAAGCCATTATTATTTATAACTTCCAAAAAGAATTATTAGTTAAATTTTAACTTCTGAATTCATACATCCTGCCTCACTATTGTAAGTGACTTAATCAGTCATCAGTTCGGATTCCTGATCGTCATTGTTCCCACAGACAAGAGTGCCGGTCCGATCACAAACCTTCATCTGAGCGGCTTCGTTCCGGAGGAGTCTGAGGAGCGGGGTGACCTCTGCATGAGCGGCTTTGTACCAGAAACGACACACAAACGCTCAGACGACACCGACAGCCAAGCGAGGAGGCTGACGGGTCAGCGCGGATCAAATAAAGAGCGAGGCAGCCATCAATCAGTAAGACCACTCGTTGTCACACTTATTCTGCTGTTTTTCACCATTTAAATTGAACTAAATCTTACCAGTATCATTTCTGTAGAGTAACTCTGTAATGTATTAACTGGTTTTACCCAGTGATATATACTATATGTTGGTTAAAAAAGCTCTGACTTAGCACATTTCATAATTTAGTTTTCAAAGCTTGATTTGCAGTTTCTTGACCTTTATAAATGTCAGCGGGGTGCTCAGATAGTTCACCTGGTAGAGCTTGGCTGTACCAAGGCTGAGTCCTTGCTCCAGTGGCCAGGGGTTTGAATCTTTAAACTTTATCAATATCAGATTTTCCTTCACATAAGCCATAATTGAATAATACATATAGTTACAAAGATTTCTCAGGACTGTGTGTAAGAGATTAACCCGAACTGACATGGTACATACAGTATAGTACGTCTTGTCTGGTCTGCCCACTGTGTGCTTTAATGTATTTATTCTGTAGTGCACTGACCCCAGTGTTTCCTCTGTAGGCGGCGCTATCCCGACTGGCAGCAGACCTGAGCAGCATGGTGAACAACCCTCAGCTCAGTGATGTGCAGCTCCAGGTGGACACTGGAGAGGTCTACTTTGCTCATTCCTTCATGGTGTACGCTCGCTGCCCCCTGCTGGCAGAAATGGTAAAATTAGCTACTATATGAACCAGGACTGCAGAATTCTGTAGAGATCTACATTTTCTTTTTATAGTTTATCCTTTAAATGATAAATGCATTATGATTAAAAGAGGACTTACTTAAGGAATATATTTGCACTCTTTCCTACTTTGTATTGCAACTGCTGGACAACAATTTCCTGCTGAAATGAATAAAGCTCTATCTTAGAGCTAAAATCTGGACACTAACCAGCTAATAGCTTCAGCTCCTCTACTTAAGCTGAACAGAAGCTTTCCAGTGGATTTCAGTGATTAGTGGATTTAGTCCAAAACTTGATTTAGACAAAGGATGAGGGATATTGTACTGAAAGGAATGTGTGCCGTGTGTGTACCCATTAGCTTTTTCAGAGACAAATTACAAATAAAAAATGTTGTATCATCATTTAAAATATTAGTTATGTTAGTTAATTAACATTTTTACAAGGTCTACATCTTTGATCAGAAACAACATCCGTACTTTTAATTTATTTGCATTTTAACTCATCCTCTCACAGGTGCATGAAAGTGGTTTTGGGGTGCAGGAGGAGGGAATGCCTGCAGCCCAGAGGGTGTTGATGAGCGACATCCCGGGACAGGCTGTGTTTGCTTTGCTACAATACCTCTACACAGCCCACTGCTCCATCCCAGCATCCCTGCAGCCTCATGTACTAGAGCTTGCATCCAGGTTAGTATGCAAGATATGAGCCAGGACATTTATTTCATAAAGAGCTGTACGATATAAACTGGTGACCTTCTTTGTTTTTTTTCATGTATTTGTTCAGTGTAATGTATTGATAATTTAAAAAAAAGACTCCTCACTCTTCTCTGTTTGTGTTTGTCAAGGTTTGATTTGCAGGAGCTACATCAGCTTTGCGAGCTCCACCGAGACGATGCAGTGACTCATGGGGATGAGGAAGACGACATGCACCAGGAGGAGAATGTCAACAACCAAACAGACCAGGCCTTCATGGAGCTGCTCCGCTCCATGTGGAATGAAGAGGATGAAGGTACGGATACAGACGGAAGAAGCGATGAAGAGAGAGGATTGAAAGAAGATCGACAAGCCGACCATCTCACAGCAGCTGACAGAGAGATTTGTGAGGAGAAAGTGAACGAGGAAGAGCTGGAGGAGATCTATGAGTTTGCCGCCACGCAGAGAAAGAGGGAGGAGGGGAAAGACAGCATGGAGGAGGAGGAGGAGGAGGAGGAGGAGAAGGTAGATGAAGAAGAAGTGTTCACAAAACTAATAAAACCCAAAAGAAGCTCAACCTGTGTCAGCATTAAAAACCTGCAACTTGAGCCGGACCCCAGCTTGGATCAGAGCTACAACCGCCTCTTCTCAGACTCCTGGGGGGTCTATGAGGAAGGAGACCCCTCATCAGTACCCTCTACCTCTGGCCAGCCAAAGACACACACCCCTCAATCCCAAGAACAGCAGCCCCCTCATAAACCCTCATCCGAACTGTTAGGTAGAACTTTGTTTCAGTCTTCAGCAAGCGTAGTAGACGACCTTTCCCTCAGCCCTCCACCCAGTGCATCCGACCTGCCTGTCCCAGGTCAGTCCCCTGGTCAAGTGGGTGACTGGGGAACTGATGCTCTTGACCGGGACGTGCCTCAAGAAGGTCTACATTTAAAGCGAGACAGCCAAGGTCGTCATAGTATTTGTGTCCCTCTTTCTCCTGATTCGCCTCAGAAACAGAAGGAACCTGAGCTCATAGTTTTGTCTGACTCAGGTGAGGAGATGGAGGTAATTCTCAGTTCTCGCAGTCCTTCGCCACATTCCCCTTGTGCTGTCCAGAACCTGCAGAGGTACACCCAGATCAACCCCCGGTCAGTCCTAAAACCTAATGAACCCGCCCTGGAAAATAAAAAGTCCAGTTTAGAGTTTTGTCCTGATGATCCATCCTCGCCAGTTCAAAGTCATCCAGGTTCCGGGTGTGACCAGAGTCTAGTAGACTGTTCTCCTGAAGTGTCCTGGCTGATCCCATCAACACCGCTCCAACATCGACGGAGCATCACAACCAGCTCCACTCAGACCAAAAGCAGTATGTGCAGAACGCAGCTGTTCCCTAAAGATGACGTTTCTTCATCCTCTGTTTTCTCTCCTCCTGCTTCACCATTTAACAACAGACTTCAGACATCCAGCAGTCCAGCCAGAGTTCCTCCCCATGTTGGGGTGTTTGCAGTTCCCCCAAGCCAAGTTAAGCACTCAAGCCCCTCAAACTCGACTTCCTTAAAGCAGGATACACCCCTTCACCTCCATCCCCAGCCTTACAGCAGCACTCCCCTGCACACAGAGCTCCTCCTGCCCCCTGTCCATCTTTCCAGTTCCCCACTCCATAGCAACCTTGATACGGTGAGGTCAACAAGTCAAGGAAGGGATAGGGCGCCATCTGTCAGCCCAGACAAGACAGAGTTGGGGAGCTTTCATCTTTCCCCCCTGTCGGACCCTTCAGGGCCACCTTCTTCATCTCACAGAGGTCTTCAAAGTTCACAGAGACACAGCGATTCCTCCCTTCAAAGTCAACAATCTGTTGAATCCAGCAGTCACAACCACACAGGAGGACAAGAGGTCAAGAGGACAGGAATAAGAGATGAGGAAGGAGAAAGAGAGATGAAGTGTGAAAATAAAGACACAGATGATGAAGGACAGCAGGAAGAAGCAAAAGCAAAAACTGAAGTAGCAGAAGTTGAATCCACTTTCCAACAGAGTTTCATGGCCATGGACGAGCCCCCAATAGCTTTCAACGACTCTTGGGGCTTCAACGTCTGTGTGGATGAAAACCCGGGCTGCTTCAGTCTGAAGCTGGAGGACAGCAGAGGATCCAGCCAGCAGGAGCGCAGCCTGGGACAACGAGAAACAGCTGGTTCGTCTTCCTCTAGTGACTGTCAACCTCCAAAATCTAGTCTCGGTGTCCGTTTATTGAACAGCCATGGTAGCGTGACCGCATCCTCTCCATCCAAAGCCCACGGCAGACAACCATCCACCAGTGTACAGGCTCATACCGGCCAGTCGTTCACCCCCTCACCACCTCACCCCACCACCGGGACCACACCAGAGATCAACGACAGCCTCCTGGACTCCAAAATATGGGACAGCTGGGAGGAGGATGAGGAGGAAGCTCTTCCTCTCTCTCAGAGGGTGAACCCTTCTGCCCAGCTTAAAACACCAAGTAGGTAGTCTTTTTCTCACCAAAGTACTGATTTGGCACAAATGTAGTTTTCTGTAGTTGGAATGAAAATGTTTTTTAAAATGACTTTCCAGCAAGAGTTTTTTTGTTTTCTCCCAAATCACATCGACATAGACATTTATTCATGACAGCATGCTTTCATAAAAGAATGGCAATGATTTCCATATCTTAAAGCATCAAAGAGTTAAGCTGTAGCATCTAAATTGTTGTTATACTTCTTCACTTCACCACCTTGAAAACAAAGCACCAGTGTATCAAGAATAAAATAAAACAACCCAAAGCCAAAACAGCCAAATATAGATTAATTGTTTTAATCAAATGACTCCAGAAAGCCTGAAACAATCTGCACAACAAGTACTGCAACTCCAAATTAAAATATAAATATGTAAGCTAAATTTCTTGGAATGCTTAAAAACTGTTTATTTATTAAGTTCTGGTGCAGAAATCAGACGGTAGTATTAAACAGTTTCCTGTTTCATCATCAGCGTCACCACGCAATAAAAGGAGTCGAACCTTGGTGCCCATCACTCCCATGCCCCACTACTCTGACATGGACACGCCGGATCTCAAGAACAAACTCAACAGGTCAGTGGGTTCCCTCTCACTCCCGCCCTCACGTTAGAGAAAGGGTGCAGAGGGGCCACATCTTTTTTTCTAATCAAGGTTATTAACTGAGGAGCCAATCCGATTACCTCCTGCGGTGTCACTGTCAACTTACGCTGCGTTTCATTAGTCGTTCACTTGCCCTCGGGGGAATCCCCGCCGCCATCATAAGTGTCGTTCCAATTGTCTGGAAAACTGAAGTGAACTTGGTGAGGTGGACCCTCGGAGGGCTGAGGGAGCGAGTGAACAACGATGGTCACTCCGAGGTGGATATCACCCACAATGCATTGCAGTTTACGTCATTGCCGCTATAACGCCGAGTAAGGGCAAGTGCGTTTCATTTAAATCCCCCGCTCCTCCCCCACCCACTTTCCCTCTGCGCTCCAAGTGGCCTCCGTGCGACGTATGCTGTTACGTCATACCAAGGGCTGAGGGGAAGTGGAACTACTAATGAAACGCAGCCTTAGTCTGTCTGGCTCTGCTCTCTGTCTCGGGCTCTTTTCCTCCCATCCATCTGCCTGTTCGTCTGTCACTTACTTTCTCCTCTGTGCAGGTTTGGTGTTCGGCCTTTACCGAAGCGCCAGATGATCCTCAAACTGAAGGAGATCCACCAGTACACCCACCAGCTTACCTACTCTGACTCTGAGGATGAGGGACCCTCTGTGGGCCACGTAGCTCAGAGGAAACCCCAACCCACCAGTTTGTTGGCCGCTGGCAACAAACTGGTCTCCTGCACCCAAACAGTGAAGTTTAAAGAGCCCAGAGTTCCCGCTGCCACCTCACCATTGAAACACAACAGAGAGGAGGACGCAGAGCTGCTTTCTGCCTCACAGGGGTCCAACACCTCCTCAACTGCTGCCAGTGAAGAATCTGAAAGGTACCATGTGTATTCAGGTGTGACACAGCTGCACAACTGTACATTTATTTTGTTGCTATACATATTTTCCGAGGGGCCAAAATGACACCACTAGAAATCCTGTCACACAGCACACAACTGCACAGGGCAGGGATGTGCATCACCGTCACTGATGCCGATGTCATGTGTATCTTGATGCATTACCAACTTCCTGATACATTAACTGCTAAGACGTTCTGACAGCCTGTTATGTTCATTTTCAATTACAATGATTATAATTATATTGTATGTGACAGAGAGTGAGACAGAGATGTGAGCGGCAGCTGAGCGAATCTCTACAGTGAGATAATATTTGACCAATTTAAATAGAAAATCAGTGTTGATATTGTGGTGGGTCGCCACAAATAATATATAGAAAACATGAATAAATCTGATTTTACCAATGTAAAAATGTTAGAAAATGCATCCTAAGTTCAGAAGAGAATTCTTTCTTGAACTTTTATGCCGGTGCACTGATGGGAAATCGGTGAATCTTATAATCCCCAGCACAGAGTGATCTTTGATGCTTTGAAATACATAGATGTACAAAATATATAGAGTATGAATATTTTGATAATTGGTGGTGGTACCAGCTCCTTAGATTTGAGTGTTATTTGGGTATTATAATTTTAATACCTTTTTGGGGTTTGGACTGAAAGGTCACATTGGGCTCTGGGAAATTGTAATGAGCTTTTTTCATACTGTCAGTGTTTGACATTTTATAGACAAAAAGATGGGAAATAATTGTTAGATTCTGGCCTAGTATAATTTATAGTTCTTTCCTGTTTAAGGAAATATTTTCAATCAAGTTTTTATCTGTCTCTTGTGAGCAAGTAAGTGATTTAAGATTTACAAATGACTATAACTAATAATTTACTTGGGTTGCATTGTCACATAAATATGGTACTTCTACAAACACAGTATGTGCATCTAACCACTCCTCTCTCAGCAGGTCCAACCCAGAGCTGTGCCAGTCCTCAGATGTCGACTCAGACAGTGATGGCGGCTTCTCTGCCTCCCAGACGGCAACACGCCTGCAGGATCGCCTCCGGGCAGTGCGCTCCTTCATCCTGTCTGACTCCAGACTGTACACTCAGATCCTCCAGTACCAACCTCTGGTCCTGTCCCAGCTCCAGCAGCGGCTCAAGGCGGCCGGGATCCGCCTGGGTGCCGCCAAGCTGGTGGACTACCTGGACTCCCAGTGCATCACCTTTACCACAGCCAAGCCGGGCCACTCAGCACCCAGCCGCAGGCGGGGCAAGAGAACAGGCAGAGGGGCAAAGGCGGCAGGGGAAAATGGAGCGAGCAGGAAAAGAGGTGTTCCTGCCATGCAATGAAAGTGACTGCAAGAAAGGTTTAAGTAGAAACAAAGACTATGAGAAGTGGCAGATTTTACTTTTACTAGTGCAGAACATCTGTCTGAAAATAACTTCAGACAGAAGAAGCAGTGTGTGTGTGTGTGTGTGTATATATCACATTTCCTCAGGAAAGGTTTTGTATTTAATTTTTTTGTTCCAAATGTTACATCTATTGTAAACTCTACTGTGAAAATAAAAATGGTAACTGTTTCTGTGCCAAAGACACAAATTGTTCCTCTGATTAAAAAATGATTACACGGTAGTCACTTGATGTTTAAAATAGATTTTACACTCATATCATGTATGTGATGGTACAAAAATCAAACCGTAGCATGTGGTATTTCACAAACTATATTAATACCAAATGTGTTAAGCCAAAACAGAACAAAGAATTCAGCTGACAGAAATGATTCTTCACACAGGAGATTTTTGAAAAACATTTTAGTTTTTTTGCTGTTCCATAGATTTCTATTAAAAGATCAGCCACGGTGTACATACAGCCGAGTACACTGAGAAAGGAGGCAGGTTCTTGAACAAGGAAAAAAAAAAATTGATACGTCATTCAAGTAGAGAGACGGGTCCTTCGTAGCAGCACAACATCAAGTCAGCGCTCAGAGTTCAGTCAGGTCGCTGTTGCATGGGGGGGGGGCAGTTGTGTCCTGCACCCAGTTCTCTCTACAGCAGCGTGAAGAACAGGGCATCAAATCAGATTCCAAATTACGTACAACCCTTTTGCACCGCAGATCCTGGAGACGAGCTCGCCTCCTCTCCGCCATCGTGATGCCCTCTCCTATGGAGCATCGACGCGGTGCTTCCTGTCCCAGCTCAAAGCCTCACCCACTCATGACAGGTTGGCAATGTTGGCAAGGAAGCGCTGAGCCCACCACTCCTCCAGGTCTATGGGCACAAAGTCTGCACAGAAACAGAGCGAACAGAGAATTAAAGCATAATCCCAGTTCTATGATTCATTCATTTTGATCATTAATTATTAATTTTGTCACATGGACACAAAGTCAACTTCATTTTAAAAAGAAACTGATCTGTGCAGATGAAAAAGCCCAAAAACCAGAGGGTCACCCAAGTATCGAAGGAATCCTATACTGAGTTGGTGTTGTATCTTGTAAAAAATCAAAACCCACTTGAGCTGAAATACACAGATTTTAGATGTTTCATTACTTGTACTGTAACTACTGTTCATAAGAATTCAAGTGCCTCAAATAAAATAAGATACTGTTATTTTATTGCTAAGTGAATCTGTCACAACCTTTCAGGGCAGTGAGCCACAGAAGGAACTGGAGCAGACAGGTGTGTGCGAGTCAAGATGAGGCACACTACAATCAGGGCCGGTCTATCTGGAACAGCCAGGTTCTCGTAGACCAAAGCAGAGTTAAAAATTAAAGTGAACTATTACAACAGCTGCCTTCTGGCTGCAGATAAATCTGAGCAAAAAAGCACATGGCATGTGATTCCTGCGGAGAGATGAGAGCAGCTTTCCTGTGGTGTTTAGTAACCAGGAATAATAAAAACAGCGAGATTACTGGTTTAAAGTTCAGGGGTTACAAAGCAGGAAGGGGGTTATCGGTTAGGATGCTATAAAACTGAGTAGTAAGATATGAGGGCGGACAGATTTGCTTTGTTGTCGTATTTATTGAAGAATTTTAGCAGGCGGGTGAATGGGAGTTGTACACTAGTCAGAATGATCCCTGTGTAAAACAGATGTGGGTACTGACTCTTCATCGCAGCACTGGGAGTCTTCTCAGTGTACTGAATGGGCCCCCGGCTGTCAGTTGACTCCCCGCTGCCCCCGTCCCCCAGCTTCTGCTCCACCTCCTGCCATGCTGCAAGTAAACAAACACACATAGCATATACTGAATTAACTTAAATGCATACTTGGAATCTGATTTTCTCCATGGACATAGGATTTATTAAAACGTCTTTATTTGGCTCCCCATGAGCTTCCACTATGGTAGCAGCCACTCTTCCTGGGGTCCAGACACAACAGAACATAAACACATAAAACGACATATAACACGCAATAAGAACATGTTCAGACAAGTAAAAGTAAAGTCAAGAAACAACTACATTACATTGTAGTTGTTCAGGTCGGTGTTTTTTTTTAGTAGTCTTTTAAAAAGAAAAGAAAAAAAAAACGTGCCTTACTGGGTGCTTCAATGATCATAGTAGGTAACGTTTATATATTACAGATCTGCAGGCTGCATCACTTCTGAGTTTTTGTTTAACTAGATAACTCCCAGTACTCTGACTTGTAGTGTGACTGTTGGTCTCTCTCATTATTTATTGACTACAGACAATGTGATTGTTTCCTGATATTCCCAAACTCATCAGATTGCATTCCAACCTCTCGACTCTGAGCCATGAGACACTGGCATGCACTCCCTCTGTACTCTTCCTCACAATGAACAGGGCAGTGCAAGCCTTGCAGCTTTGCTCTGAGCTATTTGGAGCTGAGACCTGTTTTGGCTTCACCCAACCAGAGTGCTGAGCAGTAATCAAGGTGAGATAAAACTAGTGCCTGGGTCACTAGCACTCTAGAGGCAGGGGTTAGAAAAGTAGAACATATTACGAATACTTTTTGCTACATTCAAACCAAGTCTCACATATCCAGTCAAGTAATAGTGGCAGTTCAAATCGAAGAGTGTTCCTTAATTCATTGAAGGCATGTCATCAGTAAATATTGAAAAGAGTAACGGCCCCGGAACACACCGCACTGTAAGCATTAAAACACACTAAAGCCAAGTAATACAGTTTCAACCACCATATCCTCTCTGTCACTGTGTGCAAGCAGAGTGATCTGCCTTACCGGCATGCTGGAAATCAGAATTGAATTTTCAAGTAAAAAATAGCCCAGTAGATCTTGAAGAACAACTTTTTCCATTGGCTTGCTCAACACTGGAAGGATACCAAAGGGTCTGCTATTGGCAGCTGAGAAGCTCAGTTTTTCATTAGAGGTATAACCATGGCAGATTTCCAAATCTGGGGGAACAACCCCTCCTTCAGACTCAAGTTGAAAGTAGTTTTTATACTTTTTCAATTCCTATAGGTTGAAATGCAAGAACACATTGTTTTTTAAGAAAGAGCTGGTTATTATTCAAGGTGACATACCACCCCCACTATTTCCTTTCTTGACTTATCAACTTTATCTGCAAAATGATTGAACTACTGAAATGGTTTACAATTTGAATACAATTCCATTAATTTGACAATGACCTTTTCTTTGTTTCTACATTTCTGATGTCACCCCTGACACTCAAACATCCCAGGGCCCTTCTGAGAGAGCTGGACTGGTCTGTAGTGTGCGTTTTATCTGCTGTGGGTGAGTTTTTTCCCAGCTTCACCCCATGATAAGCCTCAAGGTTCTGGCTCGCCTTGAGCACAAACTCTAAGCCAGGCACTATTTACTTACAGTTTGCACAACTTCTATTAGCTTAAACTAATGTGTGAGTGCCAAATATAAAGAACATAACCCATAGGGGAATTGTCTGTGTGCATGGGGGTGAGTGAAATGCTATCCAAACATGTTTGGAGGTGACATTTGTTGTCATTTCAGCTTACATATTCAGCTGGAGTGAGACCCATCAGCTTTTCTATCTTAACACAACTCGACGGACTGTGCCGAAGGTTTTTCTTTAGGTGCGAGCAGGGAGTGGAGCGGCCTTCCCAGACTGAACTTAACAGTCACCAAAGGACGCAGGCGAGCAGTCTTTACTGGCAGTCGTCCAAGAGTAACACAGATAAGATGGTTCATGCCGATTCAGCTCTACAAGTCATTCATTCCCACCGAGGCATGAAGTATTGGTGCTGGGTGAACTTCAAGACAGGGTGAACGGTTCTTTAATCAGTGTGCAACTTCTGAGCAGTTACCAAACCACCATAGAATGATTATCTAAAAAGTGGTTTAAGCCTCTATCTAAGAATATTCAGCAGATAATGTGAAGTAAAGAGCACACGGCTAACTACTATTAACGTTTAAGGAATTTACACAATCTCAGTGTAAGACGGTTCTATCAATCTCTGTTTTATGTTATACATAAACTGCAACTTCCAATTTTTATTATCAATTCATCTGATGGTTATTTTCTTGTTACTTGATTAATATTTTGTCAATAAAATGTCAGAAGGTGATGACAAATGCCCAACCAGTCTTTAAATTGTTTATTTTCTCCAACCAACAGCCTAAAATATGAAGTTAACTATCATATATGCTGAAGATCAGCAGCAAATCCTCACATTTGACCAGTTGGAACCAGCCAATGTTTGTTTTTTGTCTTGAAAAATGACTGATAGGGTATAAAAATAGTTGCAGAACAATATTCTGTTGATTGATGAATCAATCAACTAATTGTTTCAGCTATAATTGAAAACTTTGTCAGTGAGTCCTTATTTTTGCCATTTTGAAAATGAGTTAAAAAAGGTCCAGTGTGTAACATTTAGGAGGCTTAGAATATATGGAATATAATGTATGTAATCGGATTGTTTTTTTTATCTACTTGAATATAGGAATGGTTGCAGGTTTCCTTCAGTGGGGGCAGCTATGTTGAACCTCCATGTTTCTACAGTAGCCCAGAAGGGACAAACCAAACACTGGCTGTAGATACAGCCACTGTAGTTTCTCTCTCACACTTGTAAATCAAGGGTGAAACAAGTGATCCACAACTACACCTCCAGATGCCACTAAATCCTACACACTGGACCTTTAAATCGCTGCTGCTCGGTCGGGAAGAAATGTGTTGGAAAAGGAGAAAGACAGAAAGCAAGAGATTATCTGCCCGCCACAATGCCCCAGTTTCCATCCTCACAAACTCTGACCTTGGAAGCTTGAGAGAAAGATCTACAATCTCTCAAGGCTTCAGGATTGCCCCTGGAGGTCTGACATGTGACCCACATCCACTCATGTATTGATCCTGCGACCCTCACCTTCATACACAAATCTGACGTTCTCTTCATGTGCAGGAGTGAATCCCTCTGCTGGGCTGGCGGTTTTCTGTGTGGCTGCACTGTGGTAGCGCTTCCCGTTCAAACGATTGAACACGAGCTTTGGCGGCGGAGAGCTGGAGAGAGATCAGACACAGTTAATTAAAGAATATCAGTTTGGGGGGGGGATTGGGACAGTCTGCAACAACACAACAGGAGTTAAATGTCACGGTGATGGAAAAAACGATGCTGACTTCCAGTTAACATCTGGGAACTTCCTTTTTGGCTGAAAGGCATGTAAATGTACAATGTGCTGGATTATTTGACACCATGTTTGAATCAGGTTGTGTCTTTAGCCTTCAGAGAAATGAGCTTGAGGGCTTATTGTTGAACTTGATTATTGACGTTTAGACTTTTTGCTTTGTTTATTTCGTGCTTAAATGACTGTATGTTACTTTCTTTACCCAAGAATGCCTTTTAACAAATCAGAGGAATGTTGCCAGTTTACTATTAGGTACACCTAGAAAACACTTTAATGCATTCAGATACAGTCCTGCAAGTTATAATGTCCCCGTAGGAACAGTTTTAGAGAGGCTTTAAACGACTCTAGGATCATGTTGAAGGATGTGCAGTTGATGCATTTCACCATGAGGTGTTTCTAATATTTTGAGCATTGGTTTTTTAGCTGGGTGTCCCTATAACGTGGCAGCTGAATGCCTCTTAAAGTGATGTTGGTATTTACGAGCAGCACCTTAGGGAAGCACAGGACTCCTGCTGCTGATAAAGCGAGAGCAGGGCAGGTGAGCTACAAGGTAACGAACCGGCGTTACACCCACGCAGAAGGGACCGGATCTAACGCAAGGTCACGCGGTGATAAAGTGACCGTGGCGGTGAGAAGAAACTGCGGGGAAAGTTGCGTCCGATAATGGATGCAGCGGCGTTACCCAAGTCACACCGAGGTGTTACATGATCGCAGTCACGGCGCACGTGCAGAGTATTTTGGGCCCACGCTGCTCAAACAGCCAACAAATACACAAAAAAAACACACACACACACACACACACACACACACACACACACACACACGACTTTACAGCAGCTACTTACCTTGAAGAGAGCCAAGACGTCGGCTTGAGCTTCAAGTCGCTGAATTTGCTCTCGATTTGTTGTGTGGGACCTTTGAGACAAGAAACAGTTCAGTTCACCTTTAAAACCATCTTTAAGCATTTTAACTCTCGCAATGACACAAAACTTTCCCTTTCATGGCACAAAGGAAACCCCTGATGTAACGTTGCATCACGCCTTTAGATAACACATCCACTCACTAACCTGTCCTCCGTTGTGTAACAAGTTTGCTGGGACCTCTGGTGATTGTGTACATCATGTGAACACCGGTAACCTCCAGGAATTATTCAGTGTCTGAGTTTAAAGACGGGCTGTCTTGTTAATTATTATTCACTCATTGACTGTCAAAGTATTAAACTTCCAGACGTGTGTCCGCTCCTCCTGACGCAGCCACGGTGGGAAAAAAATAATTGCGACGTCGTATTTTGTTCCCCGGGTCAGCTGCTCCGGAGTCGGCCTGAAGCCTGCAGGAGACTCAACCTGACTTGTTGCCCGCTGTATATTAATACGTCCTCCTAACCAGCAGGTGTTCCGCTGTAGTGAACCGGCGCCCGCTGCTCCTGGGAGAGGTTGCGTGTAGGTCATCCAAGGAGAAAGCGGCTCCACATGCCGGGGCTCAGTCAGTGTGAGAGGGGGGGCACGGTGGGTCCTGACGTCCGGGGACAATGACACTCCAGGCCGGACAGTCTGCTGTCTGTGCTCCGCTGACGCTCCGGGACTGACTGTGAAGCCTCCGCTCTCTGACAGGATACAAGGGCACCGCACACTTTGATATTTTCATCAGGACGGAAAGCGACCATGCTTTTGGAGCGTCAAGCCAGGCAGAATGGAAAAGCAGGACTTCCGGTCAGAAATTTCAAAATAAAACCGTGTTGACGTTAATCCTGCAACGATGACAGGATACAGAATAATAAATAATGGACATCATGTGAATGCAAATACAGTGCACATGAGCTAAAGTAGAGTAAGTCTAACATGATTTCTAAAACATATATACATTTACATGATTTTAGCATCACAAAACAATCTATTCACCTTCATGGTGTTATGTTTCTATTCTGTGTTTATTCTGTATGGTTAGATACCACAGGATACAATTAATGAATAAGTGAAATGATTTATTGTTTGTGTGTATGTTACAAGCCTCAAATGTACTGCTGCAGTTATTATTTATCCATGCAAAACCAAGGCAAACCATTATTTCTGTGTCTACTTTTCAGTTAATTTCTAAAGTTTAATTCAGTCAGCATTATTATAAATATATTTCACCGGGACTTTTAAGTTCTATACCATCGCTTTTTGTGTCTTTTATTATGAAGTTATAGCGTCTCCATTTCCGCCCTCGTTGTTTCTGTTTACATCTGGTCGGACTGCTTTACGAGCTGGGCAACCCCCCTCTGTGACGTCACCGCACGCCCCTCAGACGGTGTGTTGGAGGAGGAGCGATCACCTTTCACCTATTAAACCAAAGGCGCAGATAGATTGAAGAAAACCGACATAAAGCGGACCCTTTTCTGCAGTTTGTAGATTTATTTTTATCCTTATTACTTATTAAATAATAACCGAGAGAGTCATTGTGACGAAAATGTACCCTTTGACTCACATTTCTGAGGATGGACAGCACGCTGGTGTCACACAACTTCTTATAAATCTCCAGTTATAGGCCACCCATTAAAGCATTTAGATATTGCTAATATAAAAATATATACAATGCGTATTTTGCTGCATACCTTCACCTTTATCTCTATACTATTACAGGTAACCTGTGTTCAGGTGAAAATCACCTGACTCGATGTACACAGTGTGAGTTGACTCTCTGTGTTTAGTAACTGAAGATCAGGGGAACAAAAAGCAGCTCAGACAGGCTTATCCAGGGTGATATCTAACACTACACCCCCCTCCCCCCTTCATCTGTAGTATGTGGGTCAATCACCTGAGACTGTGAGTGCAAAAGGCTAATCATCAACAGTCCACACTACACAGACTTAGCATTAACAGCAGAGGCCAAACCCTGGTTAAAACTGTGCTCACTTTGTATAAAATAATACATTCATCAGCTGACACACTGTACTTCCCTACAGCCAATAGATTTTAGAACAGGGTGGAAAGATATTCAATATTAAACAAGGTTAATAGTTCAGTTCACAGCTTGTTTCCTTCTAAATACCTTTTAGACTTTATTTTCCCCTGGTTGTGTGTTTATGGCTGGAAACAAAAGTATTTTTCTGGACTTCTCAGACAGTATGTCAGTGAGTGCCCCTAATGCTATTAGTTTTAGTGTTGACCTACTGGTTGCCAAATGTTAGCAGAAAAAGCTAATCTTTGAAAGGGGGCTCCTCCCTTTGGCAGGTCTCAGCTGTCCCAAGGCGAACAAGACATCAAATGACAAACACTTTAAAATGACACATCCAGCATTTTATACATATCCCCACTCTACTGCCCACTCTGTGTCAACACAAAACATCTTTAATCATATAAAATCAAATCGACACGATTTATTTCTTCCGATTTTAAGACTAACAGTGGAATAAGTCTAAATCATTAATCATCATGTTTAATGATTTTAAAATTGTCAAATCACCTTAGATTGAATTAAACATAGATCAAAGAGCAAATAAACAGAAGTAGTCAGCTTCTATATTTATGTATTTTAGAGAAATGTTGAGTCCTAAAACCTTTGTAATAGTGAATTTAACTTGTCAAACACAGATATAATTAACATTAATAATGGCTGCATTCCATTTAGGTTTTCCAGTTCGAGGGCTCTGACATTGCAGGTGCTGGCTCACTGGCAAAGTTTAATTACACCTAAATGCAACAGAGACATTGTTAATGTTATTAGTTTCAACCTGTGCTTCTCCAGCTATTATATACATCTGCAGTGAGAAGGGTCTGTTTTCTGTCCGTCATGTGTTTGCACTCTGAGGTGCTGCTGCCTTAAGTACCATTAGTCAGTATGTTATACTGTCAGCTTTCATCTCCGAGGACCCATTCTGCAGATCTACAGATTTGAGAAGCCTCATAAAATCTCACACATTTATTTACACGTTTGTTATTTGTTATTTGTATCCACTTCACTGCCTCTGCACTGTCCTACTGTGTTTTCCCATATACAGTACTGTGTTACTGAATTGTTGTCAGGTAATTTAAATTCCTCATCGTGTAGCCAAACAGAGGCAGATAAGCTTGTGGTTACATGAGTTGACAGAAGAAAATGGAGTCACTGGTATCCACTCTATAGATACAGCCGGGGTCCAGACGTCCACTACCATGAACCAAATGATCTTTCCTATAGATTATTTATTTTTTAAACGTATAATAATGATATCTTATGGTGCATTTGTATGCCAGCCTTGCTCTATTCTACATTTCTGTTGCATATGCACATCAAAGATATAAAATGTTTATATATGTTAGTTATAAATAGGTATTACTTTTTAATAATTGGTAAAAATCATTTCTAGATTACTTCAGACTTATGACCTACACTGAGTAAGAAGCAAAGGGGGTGTCCTGAAAAAACAAAAACAAAGCAGAGACAGTGCAGGACATTATAGACAGTAAGATACAATTACCAAGAAAAAACAACTTTGCAGTCCTGAGTTAGTGAATACAGTACATCTGATCTGTTATAAACATTTATGACCAGAAGGTCTATAAACACACATCAGGTGCCTCAACATGTGTGTTACCTATTATTATTATTATTAAAGTTGGCACCCAGTCTGGTCAGTTTGATTGGCTCCAATAAACATACACTCATACACACACTCACAGTAATGAAAGTGTGCATGGGAATAAAAGAGTGGCTCTTATCTGAAGCCACATTATGCGTGATGAGTAGACAGTGAAATGTTCCTTTCAAATAGATTTAATCTTTTTAATGCGTATGTGTGTGAACACACTGTGTTGGTGCTGGGTTCATGTGTTGTTCAGTAATGGGGTTCACAGTCTTCCACAAGGCTGTCTGTGATGTAGTTGACGTGCAGCAGCTCCTGATAATACTCTTTCTCCACGTTTGTGTTGACGGTCCAGGCCACCACGTCCACACCCCTCTGGGTCCAGTACTGGACATAGTCCCTGCAGACAACACACAAAAACAGGATTCAGACTTTTTAAAAAGCAACTATATTCCATTGTTACACAGGCTGTCCTTGGCTTTTAATGGCTCCGATTATATGTATACTATTGTAGAGTATATGACTGTACGGTCTCAGCTAAAGAAACTCACGGTGAGACAAAGTTCTTCTGTATAAGGAAGGCTGAGATACCACAGAGCTTCCATAGTACGTGATGGTGCGCCCAGTCCAACATGAAGTCCATTAGTGTTAACCAATTGTGTTTCCATAGCGATGAGAAACGCGGTTCACCATCTCCGAGCCGACTCAGGCTCCACGGCCTGTGGGTCAAAGCTGTGACCACATCTGGGTCACTCTGTCTCATCTGTGCCAGAGTGGATCAGACACAGAGATGAAGTAATGGTGAATGGTAACAATGTGACAGATACAGTCATGAGATTATTTAATCAGTACCTGTTTGTATGTTTACTATGAGATATGCATTTATACCAGACTGTTGTTACAGGACTTTCAGCACAAAATGGCAGAACAACTTCAATTCACATTTAAAAATACATTTAAAAGTGTTACTTTGATCCAGGTAAGCCAGAAACTTCTGCATCAAGCGAATTGTAGTGTACTGACACTGTTCAGTCAATCTAGGGTTGAGTTATAATATCTCTGGAAATGTGGTGAACATGCAAACTATTTTGTAAGGGCATCAACTGTGGTGCAAGTTCATTTTCCCACAGTGGTCACACTTGGTAAATGGATGGTAAATGGACCTTGTATAGTGCCTTTCTAGTCTTCCAACCACTCAAAGCGCTTTAACACTACGTGCCACACTCACCCTTTCACACACATTCAGTCAGTGATGGCAAAGTCCATCGAACAGAAACTAACTCATTCATACACATTCACACACCGATGCACAGCATCAGGAGCAATTTGGGGTTTAGTATCTTGCTCAAGGATACTTTGACATGTGGCAGGAGGAGGATCGAACCAACAACCTTCTGATTAGTGGACGACCCGCTCTTCCCTGAGCCACAGCCTACACTCAATGTGGAAATGTAGCTTAAATAACAGCCACACACATAAAATCTGAGCCCTCTTACCCTGTAGATGACTTTGGGCTCGAAGGAGCAGACGATGCTGCTGTTGTAGAGGACTGGATGTCTTTTATACAATTCTTTAAGGGCTGCGGCTGCCTGGGAGGGGAGGAGAAAACACACGGTTATTGTAGGACAGTCAATGTTTAGAGTTGTGTGTGTGAGTTCCTTTCCAACCACTTGGTGGTAACTAGCAGCTGTGTATACGTAGACACACTAATGTGGGCCCTGAACTCAAGAATGTCACTGCCTGAAACAACAACAACCATCACTGCAGCATTCCTTACACAACTCAAAATGTGCTGAGTAAGGAGCCACTCATGAAGTGGTTAGAAGTACGCTGAGCTTTAATTTAGCTTTTCAAACTGCAGAATTAAATAGTTTGAACTGCACTGAGTAAATTACTGCATTTTTACAGCTCCAGAGCTATGAGTCAATTTGTATTTCTGACATAAACAAAAAAGTAATATTTTCACAACAGATACAGTAATACAAGCACAAATCTAGTGACGATATAATATGTTACTATGCAAACAAAACATGCCAGTGGCAATATATCTGTGTGTGTTTTGTGGGGTTGGTTTGTTCCAAAGGACAGTACAAACTGGAACAAGTGTTCTGGATGCTTTACAGTACATGTCAGTGCTTATCAAAGTAATTGTGAGCCAGGTAATCATAAAGCATGCAAATACTGATTATGATTAAAGAAATGACTTTTTTCCAATAATGCAGTAGTGTGATGTTTTTATTACAGAGGAAGAAAAAAGGTGATTTGAGTCAAGACTGCACTCAACAAGAGATGTTTGAAAGGATTGGTACGACCTTAAGAAAGTCACACAAAACGAAATAAATAAGTAATGGAATTAGTAACTACTTGACTAATTAATTAATTATAATATAATAATAATATTTAAACAGCCCTATCAGACCCCCATGCAGATATTTTATGATTATTTTGTACTAGGGCAATTATAATCACAACAGCATGTTCTCCTCATTATGCAATGTTGACTAGGTACAGATCAATTAAATCAACAAGTAAGACAGACAGATCGCATGTAATGAAGTCTGGTTTAGTTTGTTTGTTTGTTTGTTTTGGCTGTACCTCATGTGGATGACCTTTGACATCAAAGTAGATGGTGAGCTGCAGTTTTATGCACTCCTCCACTGCCTCCGCCAGAGTTGGGATCTTCTCTCCAGCAAACTTGTCCCTGGTGGCGAAGGAATATCATGCTACTCAAACAAATGTGCTGTTTACCTGGGAAACATTACAGCTAACTTTGATCAGAGATACACCTAACTTTGTCCTTTCCTGGACTGTGATGAAATGCATGTGGTAATGAAGAAAGGACTTTTCTCAACTACCAGATGTGATTACAACATTTATAAAGACTTTATGCTCCTGTGCATTAAAACATTTCTGGTGTTCTTTTACTTTCTGTTAAATGTTAATTTAAAAATAACATTAGAAAATGGTAGTCTTGTCTCCTGTAATCTGTCTAATATGCTAAACTATTTGTTTTTATTAGTTCATGTGTTTTTTTTTATCTTGTTAAAATTAAGTTTTCTGTGTCACTCATTGTCACTGCATCCTATCTGCTTCTCTCTGAAGGATTGTTTTGCATTTTTCTTTCTTCTTCTGTTTGTTCTGGAGTGAGTTGTTTTTAGAAACCACCTGGGTTATTTGTCTCACATGTATATAACAGCATGCCTCTGTATTAATAGCAACTTGCGTCTCTCTTGTCTGATTGTTGATTGTTTATAGAAATGTGTCTTTTTAACATCTCTTTTTAGTATTTTCTTACAACTGCCTTGAGTATTCGTGGACATAGATGATCACCACATAACATCTCCACATGTAACTGTAAAATGATCAGTGCAGCATCCCCGACAGCTCTACGAACGCACTATATTCTGTACCAAGCAATTCCACTGCAGAACGGACATCTGAAACTGAAAACCAGCCTATCAGTGGAAAGACTGACCTTCTGCTAAAGGCAAGCTACATCAGCAAGTTGCAACCAAGTGTAAGTCACAAAGCACTGAAATATAATGTAACCCACAGTATTCCAACACTTTAACCCAGGAAACCTGCATGACAATCCCTTTGTCTGTTTGTGTCAAATATAGTCCAAATTAGCTTGCATTTATCTCACCACCGGCAGCTTTAAACAATTTTTAATCGATTAATAGACTGCATACAGCTTCTTACTTGATAGACATGTCAACTGTACATGCAGCTGGTCATCATTGCGGATATTCATCACAATGTAACAACTGGCTCCAAATGTATGTAAAGCAACACTAATACCCAGTCAGCAGACTTTATTGACTCATCAGTTCTTTCAAACATACGAAACAAACCACACTCCGATCTAATTCAACCATCACTACTGATCGTATATCTTTGTTGTATTCTTGTTGTTTTATTTTAAATTCCATTAATCTGTCCCAAGGAGGGGGTGGGTTTAAATGAATGTCATTAGTCTGGGGTTTAATGCATAATAACTTCAGTTTAAACATAAAGCAATAAAAGCCCCAAAAGAAAATCTTTAATGTCTGCGTGCTTGTATGTGCATTCATAGCTATATCCTTCTTTCTTACCTGAGTCGATGTTTAGCAGCTGCGTCCAGTTTGGCCAACTCGGACATCCTGATCTGGCTGAGTGGTCCCGACGCGTTGGTGGTCCGGTCCACGGTCTCATCGTGCATCAGTATTGGGACGCCGTCGGCTGAGAACTCCAGGTCCAACTCTACACCTGTTGCCCCATTCTTACTGGCCTAGAGCAGGAAAGACAAATACGAAGGTTGGAAATATTTCAGGATGGTTAGTTTCTGGTCAGCCTGTCAAAATCTTCACTTCACTCACTGAAAATCAATCTGAACCTTAACTTCATTAGGGACACCGACTTTGACTTTATATAAAGAGACAAGAAATGCTGAGCTTATATGTCAGCCGATATTATCTTTACTTTTATTGGAAACATTTATTAATATTTATTAATATTATAAATAGCAATGCAATGCAATATAGGAATGCCAAAGAAATGTAAGACATAATTTAAAAACAATGTCTCCATTATGTAGTTGTACAGTGGAGAGCACTGACAGGTTTTTTTTTTTTAATTGAGGCTATGTGTTTAATGCTTTTCTCACAATTTTGACTGTCCAATCAGTTACATATGTATACATATATATATATACATATACATACACACACTACTGGGCTGCTCTGGATACTACAGTTCAGTGAATGACAGTATGTGTACCATTGACAGTATATATATAACGTTATATATATAAAGTGTGTACCTGTAGTGCTGAATGATAATGATGGTTACCAGTGGTTAAGAGGGACATGATATCTTGATACCCTGATATTTAATTTAATAGTACATAGTCAACTCAATGGCAGTATTTTTCACCTTTGTGAGGGATGAACATATGACAAATGTCGGCCTCTGTAGGGGTGGTGTGCCCCTTGTAACCACCGGTCCATCCCAAGACATGTGAATGAAAAAATAACACCCCCTCTACCCTCCTCTCACCTCTCGGATGGCTGCCAGTGTGTTCTCCGGAGCGTCGTGCCCACCGCCCCGGTGAGCGACCACTGACACCTTGCCGGAGCCTGCGGCGCCTTTCTCTGGGTGCAGCACCTGCTTGGCCCGGCTGGTGGGTACCTGGGGGAACCGGAACATGACCATAAAGAGGTAGAGGGAGGCGGTGAGGGCGGTTGTCCACAGTGGGCTCCGGGTCCCTAACAGCACCACAACGAAGACGACCGAGTACAGGACGACTTCATCTCCGAGCTGCAGCATTGTTGTCTTGTCTTTTCTGACTTGAGAGTGTCAAAAACAGAAAGTAGCAGCACCTGGTAGCAAATGAGCCACCGCCTGTCAGTTAGTGACTGTTAACTATCGTTAGCAACCAGTGCCGCTTTCTTCCGTAGCTTAGATACGGTCATACTCCGTCTAACTTATTAGTTAAATGATAACATTAACGTTAGTTACTGAAACCAACCAATTTAAACACGTAATACCAGCAGTAACCCATAGAGACAAGCTGCAGCGGGTCATTTCACAGGAGAAAGAGGAGGAACCCGTTTCTTCCTCTCTCTCTGGCGGATATGACAGCTCTGCCGCGAGTTAGCGTTACGGGTCGTTTCCGCTAACCGAACTACGGTTAAAGTATTTAGGATACTTAGGTTTTAGGATCCGGTGAGATTTTTAATTAAATAATATCTACAGTGATAATTTACAACTGTCTCACAAGGGGGCACACGAGTAAATAAAACATGAAATCACGGTTAACGGTGTTCGAGTACATCCGGGTCATAACCTAGTGTATACTTCATGTTAGCTAACAGTTAGCTACCTCTGTAAGTGTTGACTCTGGTATGTCTCTTATTTCTAAAAAGAAGATTAGTGTTTCTGTGATTCCTTCTTCTATTCAGCCTGTCGACGGTCATGGTGAGCCTCCTTATATCTCACACTCTTGTATTGCTTTCACTGTTTTTTCTTTCAAGAATAAAAAGTTGAATTATTAGCCACATAGGCTAACTGCTAGGTGCTAGGATGAATGACAGCTCAGTCAGGGGTTGTGTGTCTCTCATTTGTTTAGTCTTAACATGTCTATTGTTAATTATTTAATTTCTTTGAAAAATACATTCCAACTGGCTGTAAGGAGGATTTCTCCTCGACCCAACCTGAATTAAAGACAACTGTTAAGTCACATCAAACAAAGATCAGCTGTAGCCATGATGAATCGTGTTATACATAGAGTGGAAGGATAACTGGAAAACATGCATGATGTTTTCATGTAAGCCCATCCAGTAGCCCAGCTATTTGTTTTTAATCAATCTCAAATATTGCTATCATAGGATCCTAAGAAAAACATTCATATTTGAGATTGTGAAAGCAGATACGTTTGGCCTTTTTGCTTAAAAGTAATCAATTAATATTTGAATTGTTTTGGCTTTAATGCAGTGACAAATCTATCATTTTGATGTTATTTTTCTACAGATCAGGTCAGTGCTGCTGCGAAGGCTAACCACCCACATCCAGTCCTGTAAAAGAGGATCATGTCTACTCACAGGTCGGATACCTTATGGGGTGCAGCCTCATTCACCAGGTCACACACTCACCCAGCAGAGCTCCCATGGACCCTTTATACCTAAAATCACTGGTCTGGTCAGGTACTCGGACTTGTCAACAGAGAAATACACTGCGATTTACACCCTGCCGTACATTAAGCACCTCAGAGCCGCGTCCAGGCTCAAACTGCTCCAAACTGCATTTACCATAGTCATCTTGCCTCCAGTGTTTGTCCTCTACCACCAGGGACTTGTCCCCTTCTCTCTTGTTGGCTACACGACGGGGATAGCGCTCTTTGCTGGTGTCATGCTGTACGCTGCCAGTCACTTCTTCAGGAGGGTTGTGGGGATAATGTACCTGGACACGTCCCACACCACACTCAAAGTGTCCCACCTCACCTTCTGGGGCAAGCGCCACGATATCTACATTCCTGTGTCAGATGTTATGACCATTTCGGACACGGGGGACGCCGCAGATGAAATGCTATTGACACTAAAGAGATACAGTAGTCCACAAACGTTCTATTACTCTACTCAGTTTGGACGAGTGGTGAACAAAGAGGGTTTTGAGAAGGTGTTTGGTCATACTTAACACTGAAGTCCCCTATTTACTATGTTTAAAATATAACATGCTATAATGTGAAGGATCTGTTCTTCATAAAAAATGGTTGATCAAATGTTAAAGATTATACACTGGAAGACTTGCTGTTATAATAAGTGATATATTAGCGGTTATCAGTCAGATGTGTTTACTGTGAGTAACTAGCAAATACATTTTCAGTGGAGCTTGTGATTCAAAAGTAAGGCTGCAAATTTGTAGGCCTCTGCAGGACTGTGAGCTTTAGAGTGGAACAACATGCCAAAGGACCAGCGTTGGAAGTAATATGTACTTTTGTCTGTGACTTAATGTGTGAAGCAGAAAAAAAAGTAATATAGAATTAAAGTCTTCTTGGTATGAACAGGTAGTCCTAATGGTTTTCAAATGTTGCACCTTAAAACAGTAATGACTAACAAGACACAGTCATTAGCAGAGTAACATGAAATGATTAGCTAAGGGAAATCCTTTACTTTACATTTTAAGGTAAAATAACGAAGTACATTACTTATTAAAAAAACAACCAACAATGTTAGGGCCTCCGCTGTGAACAGTGACTGACCTGTATTACATTAAGATGTGGGGGATTTTATCATACCATCACAGAAGATTAAAAATGTAGACGTTTGCATTTTGTGCATTTCATCTAGTGATATCATCAGATCCAAATGTTTTTCAATACTGTGGTTATACCTGAAACACTAATGGGATTCCCATCAGTCTCAGCTGTAACTGTACTCTAGTGCTGATTAGCAGATATTAGCATGCTAACATGCTAAATTGAGACTGTGTTCATGGTAAACGTATCTTCCTAACATTTGCATATTAGGTTTGTGCTTGTGAGCATGTGGTAAGCTTAAAGCCTATAACCTGCCTGTTTCTGAGCACTTCAAGGACTTCTTGTCCATGTCATATGATTGAAAGCTCTTGAATAGACATTGAAGGGATCTTGTGGTGATATTGTATTTGTCAACTACTGTTTCCACAGTCAAGATTAAATGCTGAACCTCAGCTTTTAGGCCAACATGGATGAGAAGTAATAAAAAAAAGGGACATTTGAATTCTACAATTTCACGAAAACTGGGTAAACTCCACTTCATCTGCTGATGAAGATCATATGATGTGATCCAAAGCCCAAGAACAGCTACTTAATGGGCCTTGTGGTGAGATTATTTTCTAAAGAAAATAATTATGAAGAGAAATTACATGACCTTCATTACAACAGAGCATATTGAAGCTGTATCTTCTCCTTTACCTCAGCAGGTGAGTCCTATAGGTGAGCAGGTGTTTCTGACTGACTCATGGCTTTCTTAGTCCAGGAGATTGGATTATTGGCTCTGCACTGGAAGGCCTTTGTTCACTCCAGAGCTTTAATGTTCTCAGAGCGCCCCCTGGAGTTTAAAATGAGCCCCACAGCCAATCTCTGTACAGACCACCTCTGCATCCTGCCAGTCAAAATCACTTTTTACAGACTCAGGACCATAACTGGTTAGCTTTGACCTCCACTCTGCCTGAGCACAGGGTAGTCCCATTCAGCCTGACAGACTCTGGACTGTGAGAAAGAGGGTTTGAGTGCCACTAATAACAGTGCTACAGATAATAAATAGAACTTTGACTGAAAACGGTGAGCAGCATCAAACAAACCGACAGCAAAGAAAAACTAAAATAGGAAATGTCCTATGAAATTGTTTGGAAACTATATATATTTTTTAATGAAGTTATTATAATAATAACAATCATATATTGTCTATTTACTGTGTCTTGATTTTAAAGCTCATGGATGATGTCACTGATGGTGTTACCTGAGCAGGTAATCTCAAAGCTGGAGGAGGAAGGGGCTTCACTGGTATGTTGTCTTTCAGTGCAGATCCAGACTCAACACTGAGAATGTTTATCTTCCATACAAGTCTTGATAAGTCAGTGTATTAGATTTTTGCTGACACAGCGGATCCACAGTCCAACTGTCTACACACTACAGCTGCTGTTCTCAGATTCCAGCCAAACAAAACATCATCCACTGGTTTCCAGTCAGTGTGGAGTTTCATTTCCAGCCCACCAGAGCAGCGGGTGGCTCCACCCATCAACCTGATAATATTACCAAGTTCTGAACAGAGACGAGAGAGTAATCAACACAAAATATACAGTCCCTTTTAATTAGAGGAGATTGAAAGTGAAATGTGACTGCTCTCTTTTTCTTTTCCGCCATTTACCTGCTGAATCATTTTCTTCTGCCTGGAGTCCCGAGGAGAAAAATGACTCAGAATAAACCTACATGTAAATTAGGTCATGGCAACTATCAGCACCATGGAGGTTTGGGACTGGTTGTACACCGGCATGTTAGACTCAGCTGGATGCTGCACCATGAAGTTTGCAGTGGGACTGGGGAATTTGCTTGATTAAGTTTTTCTTTCTCAAGGACACATTAAGGGCATTTTTAGTGCTAAAAATCTTGGTTTAATTTTCTTTTCTAAGGTTATGTTGTTCTGTTATCTTACAGAACACCTGTAATTTTATTGGCATTTCTTTGCTCTTGTCTTTTTTAGCATATTTGGTTCAGGTAATCCAAAAGTAATGGAAAGTAATCGAGTTATCTTTATTGTGATACTTGGACTTCGTTTACTAAGATTATAAAGTAACCCTCCCTACCATTTCCACAGAGCTCCACATTTCAGTACTACTAATTCACTAAACTAATTCACTAATAGCAGTAAATAATACGAATTGAATTTAACGAATTTAAATAGGATGGCAACTGTTATACTGTGTGTGTTAAGAGGCAATACTGGTGTGGAAAAGTCTTTCCTGAAGCAGAAGTTGTTTTTGTTACACACGTTGTGTGTCCGTGTCGTACTTAGTACTTTTTCATACTTTTTACTCCTATATGACTGTCTGACTCAGGATCGACAGTCAACAAAAAATATTATTAATGTTCATGGGTCCAATGTTCCCCAGCTCAATATCCCCTTAATACGACACATTAAGGAGACCTTTCACATATTTTTATGTTATAGGCAGAGTTTTTCCCTTTAGATTTTTATTGAGAAACGCTTGAAAATATAGAATTATTTCTTTTTCTTTTTCTTTGGCAAGTGACCATGGCATAAGTGGACGACGTGGAGGCCATTAATTCCTGATGATGGACACCTAGAAGGGCTAATTGACATTTTTACATTCCTGTTTGAACAAACAAGATACAACCTGCTAATCAGTGAGCTTTAGAGGTGCTAGTAGTCAAATGTTTGAATTCTGTAGAGAGCCGGATTAGTTTCCCCCCTGCTTCCAGCCTTTAAGCTGTAATTGTGTTTCTCTGTAACCGATCTCACTCTTTACAACTCTTTCTCTACTTAGGTGGAGGAGCTCCGCATGTCAAATTTACCAATACAAAATGGGCTAACACCTTTTATGTGTACAGTGCTTTTTAAGATACCTAAATATCCTTTACATGATGAATCAAATAGTAAAGTAGCCATTGGTTTCCATTCATTTTAGTGTGGAATTTAGGTTTTCTCAATGTTATATTGTTATGTTATACACCAATCAATTTGCAATTACCATGCAACCTTTATGCAACTTTGACCAAAAAAAAACCACATAAAAATGATGCTAACTGGTAAGAGGTGTGTTTGTCATTGCATTATGCTCACTTATTAACCAGATGGCAAAAAAACAGTGTTATCAATTATTTGGACACAAAATAAAATGTGTTTCAAGATATTTCTTCAAGCTATTCAACCATTCTTTACTGATTAAAGTTGACTGTTGTTTATTTAGAATCAGAAACACCTCAATCACCAAGCATGATGTACACAAATATGTGCATCCTTGTATCTTTCATATTAAATACATTCGAGTAATAATGTCATAATGTCATAGATTGCATTTAATATTTCTACATAGTAAAATGTCTTTAAACCGCGTGTGCATATTACCAACGAATACAGCATACAAAGCAAATACATCATAATGTCTTTGTAGACTATTCATGGTCAAACTACAATTGCATTATCACAAATGCGGTTTCGCTGCTATTAGCAGTGTCAGAGGCATAAAAATGTACATTCCACAGAGTGGAAAAAATAAGGGAAGATAAGAATAAATAAACACTGTACCTGAGGTATTAAAACGCAAAATGTCAATATATGCGTCAAGTGTTTGGCACAAATTATTATTTTAACAAAGGTTTTGTTTCTGGTTTATTGTTTGGTACTTTCAGACAGGACGACTCAAAGTGAAGAGGATTAAGTATGGCAGGATGCAACAGTGTCCTCTGCTCTTTGCTCAGAGGTGACTGGACGGACAAGCTCACACCAGGTACCATGCAGTGAAACCAGCGAGGAAGGCCACCCAGATGGCCAGAGCCACCTGACAGGGTGGGTGTCTGAGAAGCATCATGGCCAACTGGCATACGTAGGTGGGATTTCCACTGGCAGCTGTAGAAAAGACAGAAATGGAGGAGGTGAGGGATGGAGATCAGACAAAGAAAGAACGACTGTCATTACAAACAAGTTCTTTGATGGCTTTTAAGCCCTTTGGTGTAGCTATGGAGCTACGGTTCGCTCAAATACTGCACATTCTCCACTACAGGTCCACAATTCAAGCTGCCTAACTATCTCTCTCTCTCTCTACATTTTCTGGAGAATCTCTCACTTCAGACTGAAACGCTTGATGTTCACATATTGAGCTGACAAGAGTAAAAACATCTCAGTTAAAGGGCCGTTTGGCAAAGCATAAAATATACTGGAACACAAGTATCCTGTTATTTAAATATACTGTAGAGGATACAGTCTATAAAAGTGATATTTGTTTAGAAAACAATGTTTTCATATTTTTTCTAGTATACACAACTTTTAGGAATTTGTTCTTATTTCAGACCAAAACTCTTCAAATGATGTCTTACCCATTTTTGCTGCATAGTAGGGACACTTGTTGATATCACCTCCCTCCATGATCTCTGCATGACTGTGTCCAAAACCTGCATCTTGGACCTCATCTTTGATGGTCTTCCCAATCTCTTCAAGCTCTGAGAACACCTGTTTTCAGTATAGAAAAAAAAATAAATAAAAGAAAAAAAAGTTTGTTATACCATTCTCTTTTAGCCCCCAAACATAGATTGACGGATAGAAATACATTGCCTTCTTGTCAACTTTTTTCCTGCATTGTGTTTCTCTATCGTGATGATTTTGTGAACATCTGTTGTCAGGACTCTCCAAGCCTTTCTTTCTTTCCTGCTCCCTTACCATCATGTTAAATCCAAAGGCCAGGTTGGACTCCACCACAATCCTCTCTTTGGTCTCATTGTCCAGCTCTAGCTCGTTCATCCTGCTTCTGTAAAGCTGCTTGAAGCCCTTGTGACTGTATATGCCTTCAAACTGGTAGAAGTTGAGACCCTCGCCAGTCGAGGGGAGCTTCAGTGCCCTCTGGGCCACTTTCTTGAGGATCTGTCCGCCTGAGAGGTCACCCATGTAGCGGGTGTAGGAGTGGGCCACCAGCAGCACCGGGTCCGTCTGTCCCACCTCGTGGATACGGTCCACGTAAGGCTTGGTGCCAGCAGTGAGGCTGATCTGTGAGAGAGAGCATGCTATGAAAGTGGGGGTTTGCAGTAGTTTATGTGATTTCTGGTCCAGAAAAGGCCAGCAATGTCTGAGGCTCCACCTTGTAACCTTTATCTCCTGTCATGCAGCCCCTTTGTGCATTCCGCTGACCTGGTTCTCCCAGTCCTCTCCATAGAAGTATTCGAGATCCCGGGCCAGGGCCTCGCGCCGGTGCAGCTCTGTTGGGAAATAGACTGGGGCAATGTGAGGATGGTCTCTGTTCTTCTCAATCTCCTCCTCCATGGCCGAGTAGACAAAGTAGAGAGCTGCTGTACCCCTCTGGCGACAGAAGAGAGAGAGAGAAAGAAAAAGTGTGAAGGTCACATTTCTGGCTTTTGAATCAAATTGGTAATTGGTGGCTTGAATATTTAAATAATACTGTTATTTTGATTTATTGTTACATTTTAATAGAGTTACTGTTACCGGCCTGGTGCCTGCTGTTAGTTTGTTACTCTGACAACAAGCATTTTTGCCAACATCATTATAAGTCTTATTATGTGACACAATAATGCAAGACACTGTGGATGACAACCTTAAACAGCTCCTTTTTGATGCGGCCTCTGAGGAAATCCTTAACAAACTGGCAGTTCTCTGCTTTTTCGTGGGACTCCTTGGTCCCCTCGGCTAATATCTCGGACAGGTCGGTTGGGCTTGGAGGGAGAGAAGACGAGACTTTTGACACTTGTGCCATTTGACTGTTGTTTATATCATTCCCACAATGTGCCAGTGCCAGATCTCCCTACCTAAGAACTTCATCATCATCATCCACAACAATCCTTGCCCCTCCATTTGTCACACCATTGGATTTGGGCTCTGATGTCTTCTTGGCCTCCATCTTGCTGGTTGTCTCACCACGTTTCTACCTTAAAAAAGCAGGAGAGAGATAGATGCATTCATCAAACGTAATATATAATATATAAACCAGGACTTGTGCAGAGAGATTCTAGTATATTTATGCCGGAGCTGATTAAACTCTTGTAGTATCCATATTGTTGATACACTAAAATTGCGTGAATTCCTAAAACCGGTGCCCTTTATAAATATGGGGGTTTTAAACCTAAGCACTTGACTTGACTTTTATTGTGACACCACAGGGGTCAGTAAAAATTTACAAAAGGGGCCCCCCCCCCTTGTGGCCCAATTGTTAAAAAAAAATTAAAGTGTCCTCTTGGGAGGCAAAACTTGTACTAAACTGCCCTCAAGTGCCCTCTGGGGAGCCAAAACGCGTGCTAAAGTGTCCTATTGGGAGGCATAAACGCGTGCTAAAGTGCCCTTCTGGAAAAAACACTCAACTGTCCTCTTCTAAGTTCTATTATTAGGTAGAGATGCTGCCTAAAAGAGGTGCTAATATGGTGTTAAAATGCACTAGAATACAGGAAATGGCATCTACTTAATTGAAAATGTTCTGGGGGAAGACCCCCAGACCCCCTGGGGATTTATTTCCTTCATACATCCATGTCACTGTGTGTTCTTCACAGTCCAACATTGAAATGCACACAGTTCTCGTGGATGCTGATCCTAACAGCAAACTAACCTGAGTAGTCTGTCTAGTTAGTCTGTTTTAAGGCTATATAATGTGCCATTTGTATAACATATAAAACGTGTCTAAGGTGCCCTCTACAGTGGTGAGGACGCGCTATATGTGCCCTTTTTTTTCTTTCCGCCCCTGCCCATCAAAAAGTCTGTGCACGCCACTGACTCACAATGTCTTATAAGTTGGCTTGTGAGATATGTTTAATGACAAACATTACTGTATGGTTGCTCTGAAGTAACATTGGTTAATATTATGATATTGAATTATAATAGTTTTGTAGTTATTTCTGTTAAAATATTGCATTGTAATAGACACAAGCACACAGATGACATTCACGTGGGGACAGTTACAAAACTGACACCGCACGTCTTCGGTATTATTCAAGTAGTCTCAAATACAGTTATGGACAGGTTTCTAGACACCATAAAACTTTAATAATTCGCTCTCTGTCTGTGCAAACGCCGACACATACTTTGTACCGTGAGCCTATACTCGGAAAATGAGAATGAAAAGCTTGTTTACCTTGTTAAAACAGTGCTTTCACAGCCCGACGCAGAATGTACAGGGGGTGCGGTTCCTATGACAACAAGCCAATCAGAGGTCTTCCTGCAGACAAACTGCATGTTGATTGGTTACAGCCACAGAGTTTAGACCAATCATATTTCTCATCGCAGAAAAGAGGCGGGCCTCATCTGAATCATGCTCAGGGGTGTTGATTATAACATTAATTGAAATTGAGTTGTGGGGAATTAAGTTTGCACCATTTAAGTACAAATTCAACGGTCTATATATAAACAGATATTTTAAAGATGGCGAAGGTTATCAACCATTTACAGTTACATAAAAACACTTTTGTGCAAAATATGGCCAGTGGGTTTTGGCATTTAGACTGGTAAGTATCCTTACTAATGCAACCTGGTTCTTATTCTTCTTATTCATTTATCAAGACCCTACATAATAAATACATTACTAGTATATTGGGTTTTTTTACTTTAATAAAACCTACCTGCAAAGACTTTCTGTCCATAACTTTATTCACTGATGGAGCTCAATTTTCCCCACTCAGCACCACACTGTATTGTAGTAGGAGGTTTATACCGCCAGGGGTCACTAGACTCCATGTAATCTACTTTAAAAAATTCTCAACCATCATACAATTTCATTTTGGAGCCAAGCAGAGTGTCAGTAACAAGGGTCAGCAAAGCAGATGGAGCAGTAGGCCTATTTTCCAGCCAGTACCTGCTGTCTTGCTCCCTTTGACTAATATAGGATTATTATGTGCTGTAACAATATATAAACTCTGCAGCAACTGCTATCATATATAACTGATACGTGAAGTTATATCACCACATTCTTTGCTTGTCATTGCTTCTTCAGTGTGATGGACGGATGCAAATACATAAATACGTGTCTTGCTCTGGCACCAACTGACAATGCACGGGAACTGTATGGTTTACATGTTGCTGTCATATTTAGTATGGTTTGCCTTCCTATGGCTCGCTGTTTACAAGACTGTTTTCTGTTAATCTATACATCTACACAGCCCTGAAACGTCCAGCAGATAGGGATTGAACTGGATTCTATTGTCTGGTTGCAGTCACACCCTAGATAAAGAACACCCTCACTTCACCTATGGGCTCCCAAAAGAACACTTGAGAACACGAACAAAGAAACAAAGGTCCTGGATCGCAGTTTTTTCCTCTGCAAAACCTCCGTGTATTGAAAGGGATTCTGGCAGCCCAGAGGGCTTCTTTCATGTCTTGAAGGGCCTTGGAGAGCCCTGCTCTACTGTAGGAAAGCCCCACTTCCACTTGTTGCTGTCTTGCTCCAAAACGTCCGACTACAGACCCACCTCTGTTTGTTTTTGTCATTGTTAATAACCGAGACGAGCTTCCTATGATCAACAATATTGCATTGACCTCGACTCCATTGCTGCCTCAGTGATTTTGCTTTTATATTCAATGCAATTTCCTGTGTTTATGAAGATTTTGGCTGCTCTCTGACTCATTACTCATTAACAATATGTAGGAAGGTGCATGCAGCTTTTAAGAACTTGTGTGTAATACTCTTAAGTATGCCAGGCTGAGTTTATCACAATGCAACTTGGATACCGTGATGTTTGTATCACTCCCTATAAGTGCTATAGTAAGGCCATTGCTCCCTGGGGTTTACATGACATTGCTATGATCAACTGTCCAGCCATGCCAGGTCCTGGTAATCACTCATGTATCATGCTGGTAGTTTGTTCCCTTACATTGTTTACCACATTCCAGATTGTTTTTGGCACAATATTTTAGATCTTTATTACACAAAAGGGAAACCTTCCTGTCTGTGAAGGATTTCCTCTTGTTTTCAATAATCAAAAGGCTCAGGCTAAAATAATCCAGATTTGAATTCATTTTGGCTTAGTTAAAATTTTAGATCAGTGCGTTTTTTAAGGCTATTTGGGGATAGTAACAACAACAGGCCTTTCCTATTTTGATATTTAGTTTTTGTTCAGTGACATTATTCTGGTGTTGACTAAGTAACTGTACTTCCTGGCCTGTTATTGTCAAAATAGTTAGATGCAACATCCATGTGACATGTCAAAACAATACACTGTATATTAGCAACATTTCAGTGAGCTGACATATAATCATAATTTACAACATTTTGGGGAAAATGCTCTTTTGTTGTTGCTGAGAGTTATATGAGAATATTTATACTATAGATGGCATAGGCCTATACAACAAAATTTACTTTGATGGTAAGTACTGATTTTTGTGTTGTTTGTGTATTTGCACGCTGATAGGGCTCATGTACAGCTGATCAAAACAAGTGGTAAATTATCTGTTTGGTCTCATATATTTGTGTTTATTTATAACAGACCACTTCCTCCTTTTCCTTTTCCAATTGATCACATTAATTGCTTAAAACAGACATTAACAGCTGATCAACATTGGTTGCACATATTTTGAAGCAGTTGAAGGTGATCGCTTTCCTCTCTGCATCTGCTCATTACTCTCTCTCATACTCTGCAGTACTTCGGCATGGCATAGACAAGATTACTTGCTGGATTACTAAAGATAAAAAATTATATTTGAGAAGCCCTAGAAAGAAGGAGCATTTGCATTTGTTTTCTCACCTCTGACAGGATAAAACACTGGTTTGCCATAGACTGGCAGCTACCGGCTATACTTTTCTGATTTATAGCTGCAGAAAGTGAACAGTTTTGTGTCTCTGGTGGGTTTCACGGGTGGGAGCCTGGACCTTGGTACCATAAATCCTGGTGACTTTGGTGGCCTGCAGAGAGAGTGCTTAACCCTGCATCAGGTTTATAATTAGAAACACACCTCCCTATGTTCGCCAGCAGGAAATGGCCTGGGCCTCCATGTGTGTGCGAGGCCGTGGGCTAACAAAGAGAGGAAAGTGTACACATGGGGCAGGCATGCGATGTGATCACAGTCTAGTATTTGAGTGCTACAATCACCTCGTTAGAATGTGCAGGTGGATGGGAGGGCAGGATGGAGAGAAGCTATGAGACAAAGTAATGAGACGAGGGAAACGAACAGTCATACGTTTACTGTATGTTCCAATTATACATCACTGAACTATAGGGTTATGCTACGAAGCTCCGCAGGTTGACTCATAGGCATGAAGCAGTGGGATTTTTACTGTTGCTTTTTACTGTTGTATGCATTTACTTTTGAAAAAGGTTGAGCTGTTGAGGCCATTTATTTTTTTATATTAACAAAAACACTTTGAAAAAGCTAAACTAATTTTTCAACATAAAGCCATTTGGCAGTATACTTCTGCGTTACAGTGTGTTTCTTTCATAACCCAGAAGGTTATGAGGAGAATACTCCGCTGAGCTCTGTAATGTAGCATATATATATTTCACTGATCCCCTCTATATCTGTTATCCACTGTGTCTCCAAGGAAATCTGAAACACATGGAGTTTGGACAAACCTTAAGTCTGATTAGAAAGCTTATATATTAGTGATGGGAAATCCTATTTGTAAGTGAAAACAGTTACATTTGGTTGAAAGCCGCAAAAGACAGGAAATCCAACTGATCCCTGCTAAAACAAAAAAAACAGCCTTTTTAAAAAAATGCAGCTTTCTGGTTTTTTTTTTTTATATATTTTATTTTCAGTTTTATATATGTAATGTATACAAACATATCAGTATACCAGCAGTATAGAGACATAACAAAGGGCAAAGCGTGGAGGATACCCCTACCCCCCCCCATCAAAAAAAGAAAAAAGAGAAACAGGAAAGAAGTCAGTGTGCAAGGTCAATACAAACGACTACATTAAGTACTTGGGGTAAGAGATGTACCGATATGGTCTAAATATGGCCGCCAAATTTTCAAAAAGGTGTTATATCGTTTTCTGAGACAATAAGATATTTTTTCCAGGGGAATGCAGCTAGTCATCTCAACAGACCACCTGTCAATAAAAAGAGAGGAGTCAGATTTCCATGACACTGCAATGCACTTCTTAGGCACACATAGAGCAATTTCAATGAATTTGAGTTGTGCATTGTTTAGAGAACGGCGAATACTTGTAAAGTTCCCCAATAAACAAAGTTCAGGGTCCACAGGAACATTAACTCCTGTGATCCTGGTTAAAGCTGATATCACAACCTTTTCTTTCAGGGGGTGCAGTCCGATTTGTGTCCAAGAAGGGGCGTCACTGCCCTCAAAAAAGGATGAGATGAACCTCATTTGAGCTGCCAAGTATTAGTTTTTAAAATGTGGTAGTCGAAGTCCCCCTGAGCTATAGTCCCATGTTAGCTTTCCCATGGATATCCGGGGTACTTTACAATTCCATAAAAATTGTCTGACATATCCATTGAGAGCTTTGAAGAAGGATTGTGGTAATGGAATGGGCAGGGATTGAAACAGATATTGCAATCTCGGTTGTACATTAATTTTAATACAATTAACTCTTCCAATCAGGGTGAGAGGCAAGCCCATCCATCTACGTAAATCATCCTCAATCTTACTGAGCAGTGGGAGGTAATTCAATTTGTACAGGTTTTTAAGGTTGTTGTCTACAAATATCCCAAGGTATTTTATACCATCTATAGGCCATCTAAATGGACTTGTACTTTGGAGTTTGGAGAGATCAAAATTTGTCAATGGAATAATTTCACTTTTTTCCAAATTCACCTTATAGCCTGAAATACTACCATAAGAATTTGGTACAGTTTGTTATTTGTAAAGAGAGTTACCAGGGTCTTTTAAGTACAAAATAACGTCATCTGCCAGAAGATTAATTTTATGAACTGTCTGACCCACCTAAAAGCCCTCTATATCAGGATCTTGTCTAATTGCTTCAGCTAAAGGCTCAATTGCCAAGACAAAAAGTGCTGGAGACAGAGGGCATCCCTGTCGACTTGATCTGCTTAAAGGGAATGTAGATGAAATCTGTCCATTGGTGCTGATTTTTGCCTGGGGTTTATGGTATAGAGTTTGAACCCAACTAATACATAATGGGCCGAACCCAAACTTGGCCAACACTTTAAATAAATATGACCACTCTAGCATATCAAAAGCTTTTTCAGCATCTAAAAGTGCAACTTTCTTATAGTTCTGGCTGTTGT